AAACCACGAAACCACGAAACCACGAAACCACGAAACCATGAAACCACGAAACCACGAAACCACGAAACCAGGAAACCAGGAAACCATGAAACCATGAAACCATGAAACCATGAAACCATGAAACCACGAAACCACGAAACCACGAAACCATGAAACCATGAAACCATGAAACCATGAAACCATGAAACCATGAAACCACGAAACCATGAAGCCATGGAATTGAATTTCGGGGGAAAAGGCTTAAAATCAAAAATTTTGGGATCTTAGCGCTTCAGACTCACGGGATTCACTCTCAAAATGAAGAAAAAGGCTGAAAATTTTCGAAATTTGAAAAACGCGAATCCAACGAATTAAATTCGAGGGAAAGGGCTTAAAATCAAAAATTTTGGGATCTTAGCACCTCAAACGCACGGAATTCAACCCGAAAACGGCGGCAAAATGTGGAAAGTTTTCGAATTTTGAAAAATGCAAATCCAAGAAATTGCATCCCAGGAAGAGGGCCTAAAATCAAAAATTTTGGGACTTTAGCGCTTCAAAAGCACAAAACTCAATCCCAAAACGGCGCCAACATGTGGAAAATTTTCGAAATTTGAAAAATTCAAATCCAAGAAATTGAATCTCGTGCGAAAGGTCTTAAAGTCAAAAATTTTGGGACTCTAGCGCTTCAAACACACAAAATTCAATCCCAAAACGCCAACAAAATGTGGAAAATTTTGGAAATTTTGGAAATTTTCGAAATTTGAAACCACGAAACCAGGAAGCCGCGAAATCATGAAGCCACGGGATTGAATTTCGGGAGAAAGGGCCTAAAATCAAAAATTTTGGGATCTTAGCACTTCAAACCCACGGGATTCACTCCCAAAAAGACGAAAAAGGTGGAAAATTTTCGAAATTTGAAAAACGTGAAGCCAAGGGATTGAATCTCAGGGACAGGGCTTAAAATCAAAAATTTTGGGACTTTAGCACTTCAAAAGCACAGAAGCCAACCCGAAAACGGCGACAAAATGTGGAGAATTTTCGAAATTTGATCAATGTAAATCCAATAAATTGAATCTCAGCGAAAGGGCTTAAAATCAAACACTTTGGGGTCTTAGCACTTCAAACGCACAGAATTCAATCCCAAAACGACAGCAAAACGCGGAGAATTTTCGAAATTTGAAGAATGCAAATCCAAGAAGTCGAATGTCAGCGGTAGGGCTTAAAGTCAAAAAGTTTTGGGACCTTAGCCCTTGACTTCAAACGGACTAGGCCCAATTCTCAAACGATGGCAAAACGTGGAAAATTTTCGAAATTTGAAAACGCGTAGCGTTTACATCTTTGCCTTGCTTATTTTCTTATTTTGGGGAGGAGGGGGATCCTAGTGGGAGGGATGTTATCGGACGCTCCAAGCTAGTATGATCGTACATGATGCATTTGCGTACAGTCTAAATCATAGTTCTTCATTTGGACTTGCTTTCTAAGCTGCATCGTTTGATTTTCACTTCCAACGAGAACAAGAGATATAAGTTTACTGATTTTCATTTTCTGGTCAGCCACTGAGTGATGCAAAACTTTACTACTAGTTGTACATGAATAAATCACAATCACTAAATCTAAGTTCACTTTGACTCTACTTAACTTTATTTACGTTGGTATAATCATGCTCATCATCAACTGCAACTTTCGATTGTTCAATTTCACTACAACATACGGAGATGCTTACAGTTATTTCGTGTGCTCAAGCCGGATGGTCTCTTTTACTGATGCACATACTGCTGCGTTCGAATCGGTAGCTTTCTGAATTTGTTCCTTTTTGAAAAAGTCCTCGCCCCTTCCCCCGCAAGAGTCACGTAAGGAACTACGATATCTCCTAGCTCTGCACGTTTACTACATCAGACCACTTGATGTTTATTTTCCCTATAAATTCTATGACAGACTGCTACACTACTTCGTAGGAACAACTGATTGTCTACAACTATGATCATGTGTACTAAAGTCCGAATTATAAGGTCCTCCCAGTAGTACGTCGCGCAAACATAATGAATACTTTCAATTTCTTGCGCATGGTGTAGTTGGTTCTGCAACTAGTTCTTCTTCCTTCTCTATACTTCTACTTGTGCCATTCGAATTCATATGACTATTTCGTATCAAGTTCGGCTCTGCGGTAATTTAAACATACTCGCCATGTGGCAGAAGTACTACCCTTACGTGATGTAATATTTCGACCCCCCCCCCCCAACACCTACTAGCTAACACGTGATACTACTCGAAGTTCCGACACGCTCATCAATCGTCGTTTCATCTAATTTTCGGAAAAGATTATTCCTATTTATTAATCCTCGTCCCCTAAAACAACACGTACTAGTATCACCTTCACCAGCATAGGCATACCTCCCTTCATAATTCTTCAACCCTCGTCCCAGTTCAGGAATCATTTCTAACCTCCAGTTCCATACCTGGAACCTCCTATTCATTCACTCACCTCTTCGTTGGAACCTCCTAGTTGAAATCTCCAGCATCCTCATCCGCATCCCTGATATCAACCGTTGTGCCCCTGCCACCAGCACCGGGATGATCCAGCAAGTCACCCAATACGTCATCAAGCGCCTTAGAGCTTACAAAACACATACTTAAGATATTGTTGAAAAAGAGAAACATTGTGAGCAATACCTCATTGTTTTGCGAAGTCAACATCACTTCAGAGAAAAACCTGTTATTGTGCACTGAGGAGTAAAACTGAAACTGATTCGCAAACAATTTCATGTATTGACCTGCCAATGCCATAAGAGCAAACTCATCGAAGGTCTTTGCTCCGACACTACCCCACTCATCGTCATCAATCCAGTCGTCGTCCTCTTCGTCGTCCTCCTCCTCATCGTACAAAATTAGCAAGAAGACCAACAACTTGTTCGAATATCATAGATGCAGTAGAACTAGAGACAAAGATGAAATCTAAACCCACATCATTGATAAATTGACTTTCGTCTTCTGATTCAGCTCTGTATGACCATGATGATAGATTGAAGAACGAAGGAACTCAAATTTTGTGGTTCTACAATGCCGACGATCAACGTTCATTCTATTGACAAAGAACTACAGACTTAACTCACTATCATCTTCTGCGAGGTCGTCGTCCCCGACAATGTCATTGAAAAGGCCGTCTTCGCTAGAGTCCCAAGCAAAATCTTCGCCCATATCCTCGTCATCGTCGATCAAGTAAAACTCTTCAGCAGCTTGCTTCTTAGAAAATTCCAATTTGATAGGTGTAAAAATTTAAGGTTGAGGGTCCGCTGCTCCCTCCTGGCAGGGACGAATAGGTGTTTCATCTTTTCATTCTTTCGCTCTCATTAGAGTTCGACAAACAATGAGATTGAGAGCAGGAGAAAGTAAATGCTATTTATTACGACTACTGATATAAATATGTATCGTTTGGGCTTGTTCCTGTTTTTTGTGATTGTAGACCGAGCATCGTCATCATATGGAGTAGTAGTTTTTTGCTGAAGAGATTCAGTATGTACGAAGTAAAAAACGATGGGACAATCACTGTCGTGTCGTGTCGTAACTTTTCCTCGCTTGTGTCCTCCGTAGTGACTTTCAGATTCCTTTGCGTCGACAATATCACCAGCATCTTGTCGACCCGAACCAGAACTGAAGATAGAACTAGAATTGTTCACCATAGAGCTGAAATTAGAACAAGAATCTGATCTGGTCTATTTTTCCGATCACATCGGATTAAATTCATTCATACAACGAAAAGCAAAATATTAGCGAGTAATTCAAATTCTTTCATAAGTGTAGGCTGAGAAGCAGATCGGTCACTTGCGCTTTCGTAGATTTTGACCCATTGACCCGTCGCCTCGACTTTCTTGTCCTTCTTGACTGAGACTGAATCAGCATGGTACACCCTATTTATTGTTTCAAAAGGCTCCTGAATGCTACCCAGCGCCGTTGGAAAAGTCGTGCCCTTCTTACGACTTTTGTGGGGTGCCAGTGCCTCCGGGTCGTAGCGTCTCTCCCAGTTGAGTCTTAGCTCAGGACTCAGTTCCGCCTGCGTCGCTCCCTGCCACAGCAGGGAAACCTCAGACAACGTGCGGTCCTTAGCGCTATAGTAGTTCTCCTCCTCATCAACCGACACATGCACATCCGTCTTCGACGCCGCATCGTAGAAAAAGAGACGATCTACTTCCCTGCTCGCTTTGACAGCACCACCAAGATCCTTTCGGAGACCATCGCCGTGCGAGTCTGCAGATTTTATTGATGTCATTTCTTGTCACATTAATTAAAGGAGTACTTACATAGAAACAATTGCATTATGAATCAATCTGTTGTAGGAAGCAAGGTAGGTACCTGATCGATGCGATGAGACAAAAAAAGCATAAAATTCATAGAAGTACAGGAACTTTTTAACAGGTGCCGTGTTCGTTTCGCATTCGGTTGCCGGAGATGCAAGCCCTGCTCCATCAGCTCCTGCAAGGTAATGAGGTATGGGTATGCGTTAGCGTTGATTCCCGTGTGGATTTGTACGCCGTGATTCGGATCTATCGAAGTTAGAGTGGTCATGATATGTCGCGGCTAGCCTCATCGTGAACTGAGAAACCAAGGCATTTTTTCAAACTGGATAATTATTATACTCAATAGTTATAGCTTGTCAAGAAGAAGAACATCGAACATCCCACTTACGTACAACAAAATCATGATCAAAAGGATAGCCTCGTCTTAACAAAAAGATCGCAGCAGAGTTGTCCGTCGTCGTGGTGATCGCGGGCTCATCCTCTGCGCTGGCGCGTGGGGAGTGGTAACGCCTTTTTCTACGCGCGAGAGTGGAGGGGCGAGAGTCGGCAGAAACTGCGGCAGGTATTACATCGAGCCGCAAGACTTCTAGACCCTCCGCTGCGCGAAACGTGAGCGTGTCGATCGCGCGCAAACCTAGAGAGGAGACGCCGCCATCTACGACCAAATCAAGGGTGCTGTCAGATCCAACCGACGCGACTCCAGCACAAAAACCTTGGTCCTGCTGTTGTGCAGACGCTGACGAAGATGTCGTGATCTTTCTAGCTGAGCAGGACGTTTTTGTATCATTCATCTGCATCTGAGCCTCTACTTGCTGCTCACTGGCGCACGAACATGATGAAGTCGCTATTGTAGAAACTGAGACGCCGGAACGTGCACGAGAAAGCGCACCCGCGACGACCGGCCCAAAAGCTTTCTCTGGATGCGCCCACTTTTTCACACCAAACTCGTTGTATTCCTGACGCACCGAATTCGATTTGTGGTCCATAGTCCTCTGTGAAAATGGAGGATTTGTAGATGATTGATACCCGTAATTCGGAACAGATTCGTGCCCAACGCCAGTTGCATTCTGAAGCTGCAAATTCTGACGTGTTTTTAGTGCAGCAGCAGCCACAGCTCCCTGATTCGTCTTCGTGGTCCTACGTTCTACTTCCGCAGCTGCAGGAGCGGATGAAGGAGTCTGGATGTTGCTACCACTTCTTGCTGCGGCAATAGTACTAGTAGACATCATAGCGCTTTCTGGTTCAAGGCAGACAGTCGACGATTCTGCACGCGAGCGCAGCGAGACTGACCACATCTCATCACGACGATCAAAACGCGCGTGTCCCGACACAGTGGCACGCGTATGACTTGCAGCACGCACAACCAGGGAACGCAGAAGCACTGGCGTAGAAAAATGGATCGAACCCATATGGCCATCCCGAATAGAGATCGAATGACTATGTTTTCTCCTTTTCTGTTGATCGAATAACAAGTCCTGTGATGTAGAAGTAGAAGTTCTGCCATTTTTCTTATTCTTTTTCGATTTCGACTGTAGCTTGTTCTGTACTACTTGTTCTTGCGATTTCATCCATGCTCCGCGAAAAGTGACTGGACCCAACTCCGATAGCATGTGCCTTGTCTCTGGGCCCTCCAGATGCTCAACGGGCAAGCCAGAATTTAGAACGCTAAAAGGACGTTGAAATGCAATCCGTAAGAAAATCAAAACACCCCAGCCTTTTTGTGAGTACAACTCTAGTTTTTTGTTTTAGTAAGCGCCGCAGCACGTAGGATAATATAAGGTCGTAGTCCCTCTTTTTTCTGCCTAAGAACGATGGTATGCTACAATTCCCTTTTTCAGTGCTGTGGTCATAAAAATGGTACCACTTGCTCATCGAGACGAGCACCGTTTCTCAGATCCTCGAAAAGCGGGCTCATTACAACCGGCCGAGTGCGATGGTGCCAAATCCGTTCCGGCAGGAGACGAGGACATCCATAATCATCATCACTCTTGACAACTGGAGCCCCTGATGCTCCATCTTCGACCACTGCTGCTTCAACACCACCTTCTAGTGCGCGTGGTTCTGGTTCTTGGTTTAGATCCTCATGGTCCGCTGCTCCTGCTCCCACTCCAACTCCTTGTTTAGAAAGGAATGCTGCTTGTTCACGATTGTTAACGCTAGGCAAGAATCACTATCCGTGGAGGAGTGCGTGGAGTTCTTTCCTGTTGATTTTCCCCTTAAATCGAGGGGCAGCACGCCACTCAGGATATTACCTCACACCAGATAGTGATGCACTAGCCTTAACGTTGACTTGGCGTACCATCTCCTTGTATTCATCGTCGTCACGGGACGATTCGAAGTGCATGGACTGCTCCGACTCTGGTCCAGAATTCATTTTGTCAGCCAGCTTCGTCGTGTTCATATTCACGAATCTAGGCTTCGACTGGACATAGAAAGCACTCAGGTCAGCGGCAACAGCGGCATTCGTGGACCCGGTCCCCCAGAGTTTCGACAAGTCAGTCACAGCGACCACACCCAGAAGCTCCTCCGTCTCGAAAAGAGAAGCTGGAAGTTGATAGCGGTGAAAATGTTTGTACATAATTCAATCACAATGCAATGGCAAGCCTCAATATGTATCCATAAATATGATTCGAAAAAACCATCAAAGAACTGAAGAGGTCATTACCTTAGTTACAGTCACAGTATCAAATTCTGCTTCCACAAACTTCGCCATTGATCTATCTTTATGGTACAAATAGTCTTCATGAAGCCCTTGTTGATATCACAAGAAAAGGAAGTGCATGGAGGTACCTTCCCCGATCATATCACCCTCTTCTGCGAAAACGGCGAAAGAGCCTGGACGGTACACTCCCTTATTGTGTACCACAGCGGGAACGAGACTCTCTCCTGTGAATTGGATGCGTTCCGCGGTGTTATCACAGAGAGGCCCGTCCAACGAACTGCATCGCCTGTGTTCTTGAACCACCTGTTTCATGTCGAAGTTCGCTTTTTGCACATCCCAGTGCTGCCGGGACCAAAATTCGCGCTGTGTGTCGTTGACAGTCGCATTCGGCGACCGTACGTACCAACCCCCTGAAGCCATGGTTCTCATCACTGCCATCGCGGCGCGCTTCTCCCGACGCGCCAGCCGCTCAGCCCCGCTCGGCTTGGGGCCTTTCACGAAATTAGCTGCTTGAACAAGATATGTGTGTATTATACTACTCCCCACTACTCATGATCAACCTCGAGTTAGCGGGCAAGAAAAAACAAGCCACACCCCCATCTTCGCACATGCATGATCATCAACGATAGTACTCATACTGCTTGATGTTGATCCCGTATCCGGATATTACAAGACGAAGAACTAGCTAGCTAGTTGAAATATTATATATAATATGTTGAGTGGTAGACATCAATATGTTTGCTCGGTCATGATGATAGATTTGATGAAAATAAGTGGCCTTAATCTTTAAGCCCATCAGCGAAGCCAGTGCTGTCAAATCCTCCTGCAAGCCAAGAGTTCCGGCAGTGCCCGCATCAAGCACCTTGGTCAGAAACTTGACGGAGTCGGCTGACATCATTCCGCTCAGAGCCTTCAGCAAGGCACCCTTGGCCCCGTTTTATGAACGTATTCATCACATGTCATTATGTCATTGCTGGTGTGGATGTCTTATACGCTGATGTATTGCACTTATCAACTGGTAGTGGTAGTGGTAAACGTGAGATAGTAACTGCCGAGAAGATACAGTTACAGAAGGCTTATTGCACTTATTATAATGATGATGAATGGACTAGACGGCGATCAGTACGAAGATTGCACTTATTAATTTATGTTTGTCTCTCTACCTATGTGCGTCATCCTCGTTAGATGTCTATCTAAAAAAAAGACCTAAATTGACCGGTCCAACGCCGAAGGCATAGGCATCCTCGATGTCTTTCGGTGGAGGCAGCTCGTACTTAGCTGGATCGAAGCTCCGATGGTCAACCAACTCTGTTACAAGCCTTAGAAACACCAAATTGGAAAGATAGGAAGAACGTTGTAAACCATACCGATACTTATAAACTAAAACTGTTACTAGAATTAGAACAGCTGAATGGTACATAGATAAGAATTAGGAATTGAAACGGAGGTAGTAGCGATATTAGGTCTAAATTAGACGGAGAAAAGCGGAAGATGGACATCTCCTGCTCTATTTTTTGTCAGCCTTAAGAGAAAGCGTCCCTCTTTTCGTTGGAGCGCGGAAGCATGTGACTTATCCAGCATTTGCTTGGTTCTCTTCGCACACGTAGACCCGCTCCATGCTGATGTTGACTCTTGATCTTTAGAGGAACCGAAAATGGAGAATATTAGTATTACCTTGTCGTGGTAGCCACGACATCAACATTGTCTCATTCCCACCTCATCGTGATTTTGTCTATCTTAAAGTTGTACAAGTTGAGAGATGACGCGTCTATTATCCCATCAAGCTGCCGCAAATACCTACACATAGAGGAAGCCAGTGTTACTATATCGCTCGAATTTTCGGAAATGAGAACCAACGAGCTCCACGCCATTGCGACAGTTCAATACAGAAAACTAACGGCAGTACTGGATGAAGCCTTAACACCATCTGCCTGCGTGTGCAGCTTTCGTTGTTCTGCCGCATATTCTCGAGCCAAGTGCGGAGGAATCGAAATCGACAGCACATCAACGAAAATGTGCTTCCTTAGCTGGGTTACATGTTTGTCCACTTCGTGGGGCTCTAGGTTCATTGCAGCATCCACGCTCTTCAAGAGCCCAGCCAGCATGAAAACCGGGATTAAGAGCGCACATAAGGGCTTCATGATCCATAATGACGGATCTCCACGAGGACGTTTGCAAAACGTGAAAAACGACATCTTGTTGTAGAAGTTAGTGTTTTCTTGCAGTACTATGTTGTATCAACGTATTAATGCTATGCAGCTTTTGCCTGTTGATTCCAAGTAATATTCAGATCAATCTGTTAAATCTCGACAACACATTAGATTGTTGTTGGTGATGATTGAAAAGCGATTGGATCCTCTTAGACAAGTTTTTGGTCGAGGCGCTTTCGCAACTATAGCGATATCATTTGGCAGGAGGAAGCTACTCTACGGGGAAATTTGCTGCCGTGCGGAAACGCACATGATGTAAATGTTGGTGTCGAACCTGTTGTAGTATTGGGAGGTAGAGCAAGATTAATATTACAAGCCGCTTCATCTCACCGATCTTCATGACGACGAAGTTCTAACGACCGAAGATGATTCACGACCGACATAAAGATTCACAGTAGATTGATCGACGTCCGACTTCCACAGATTGGGGTATCCACAGACGCGCAAAATTTCATCCAGAATAGTGGACCAAGTGAGGAGACAGCCTCTGTCTCTTCAGGCAACCCGCATCAGCTGTCTCCGACAACATCATGATAAATATGAGACATGCACTATAATTTTTGAGGTAGTTTCATTTGTGAAGAGAGGTTTGTTCAGGATTGGAAACGGGATAGGTTTTTGGAGAAAAGAGAGCGTTGCACGTAGCAGGCCTCGAGCAGCAGTCGATAACTCCGCTTTATCATGCCGCGTGTGTTTGTTTGCGTTTGGTCTGGCCGTGAATGAGCGTTGTTCTTCTTCTTCGCACTACTCATCGTGTACATATAGTCAAACAATGCCAACACTACTTAGTACAACGCACCTCCTCTCTCATGTCGATAAAAAATTTGTGAATCCGAAACGCAGGTCTTCCGAATGCACAGAGAGTCTTTCTCTTCTAGTTCTAGGTCTATACGAACTAGATCTTTAGCTTGGTAAGTAGTTACACTTGTACCACTTTGTAGAGTCATTTTGTAGTTCATTGTGATGCTGCTCCAGTCACTGTCCACCACGGAGACGAAGATAATAATCTGTGGTGCTTTTCCATGATCCATTCTTCAATCATCGCTTCTCTATTAGCAGCTTGTACATTTTTGTTTTTCATTGCTTTACATGGCGTTGGCTGCATTTAGATTGACTCCTTCTCAGACTGATATAACATGTCACTTTTCCTCATCATGTGACGAGCTACTAATAACACCAAATAACAATTGATGTACAAAGTGATTTATAATAGAAGTACCAAAGAAGGGAGAGGATATACATGAGCTAGGAGTGCGAGTGTAGATGAAGAACTATATAGTATAACTATATTAATGACGTTGATGTTATAATCTTTGTGATTCATTTGCTCGCGTCAGTACAACTACTTGGGAGAGGTCTAGTCCTATTCATTTGCTGTATAACATCATCCTGTCAATCTAGAGGTCGTCGTCGGATTTTCCCGCATTTGACTCCTTCTTGGCTTTTTTTCGTCGTTTGATCACCTTTGCGGGCTTCGTGTTTTTCTGGCGCTCTACCTTGCTCGCCTTCTTTTCTACCTCCTTGCGTTTCCTCTTACCCGCAGCTGCCTTGCTTGTCCCGTCCTCCACCACCTCGACAATCTTCCTTGTATGTTGCGAGTGCGACGTTTTCGCCGATTTGCTAGTACTGTTCGATTTCAGACGGCTCTTATTTTTACTTGCTTTTGTCCTAGAAGAAAATGGTGAGCGAGGAGACGAATGCTCACCAAGATCTTCTTCGTTCAAAAGAAAACTGTGATCACCCGTTTGTTGCAAACCGTCAAGAAAACTAGCGTCTTCACCTAGTTCTGCAAGCAAATTTTCCTCTTCCGTCTCGTCCACAGCTTCTCCTTTGTTGCCTCCTTCTTGTTTCTGCTCTGCAACTTCGCGAAGCATGTTGCGCCAAAGGGCCGACTCGCGGGTGTGAAAGTGGGGAATGACCACTTCCCGCTCACTGTCAGCGACATTTTGTGTCGCCATTCCTTGGATCCAATGCAACCACGCAGCCATGATCAAGTCGTTATACGCCGTCAACGACCGCTTCAGCTCGCTTTCGATCACACTCTTGTTCTTCATCTTATTGCCACCCTTCGATGAGACGACCTGAAGTTGCTTCGATGAGCTAGAAGATGAAGATTTGCGCGCATTCTTCTTTCCTTTAGCATCAGAAGTTCTCGTCTGCTTTCGTGTTGGCTTTTTCATCTGTTTGGATGTTTTCTTTGACTTAGCAGTACGGGATGAATAACGATAGCCGGTCGACGAATCTGGACCAGCTTCTTGGGACAACATCATCAACTGCTCATCCTCACCGCCAGGTGCTGAACCGTCATCTCGTTCGCTGATCATCGTCATTTGTTCGAAAGCAGTATCTTCGCCATCATCAACATTGATGAGGTTCCTGTCATCTGGTTCGTCTGAATCCTGGTGTTCTTCTTCTTCTGCAGGGTAGTCCTCGTCTCCATCCTCGTCGTCGCTGTCACTGCCCATTTTGGCCATCAATTGCTCTACATGGGACATCACGTCGTGGTTCTGGATCTGCGTACGCAGTCTGGAAGGCACGATTCCGCTCTCAAGCATTGTCATGACATCCTGTGGCCGCGCCTGGGGACGCGTAAGCATGTTCATGATCATATTCACAACCACTTCGTCCTGCACGTCGGCTAAGGAGTTCACACGCGTTTTGATCACCAAATTTGCTCGAATCATGTCCGACAAAGACATCATGTGCTTGGTTGCCGCCACATCGATTGAACTAGTAACTAGTTCGCTGCTTTGGCCTAGCAAGAGGACATTTACGGAGCTGCCGGTTGCCGGTACAACCTCGAGCGAAATCAAACGCACGTGCTCTGCCGTCAGAAAAAACAGCTCGTCAACCACCTGCAGACCGACATTCTGGCGCGGATCCTCAGCCAAATCAACAATGATCGGATCTGCAAAGAGATTTTGATGCCAACATGAACATCATTGAAGATGACAAGATGAATATCATAGGATAGGCCTACTTTCCTATTTTTGGTAACATCAAATAAGAAAAAAGCTCCTAATTTGTTCTAGTGTCAGTTGCTATTTTTGGTATGGACAGCTAAGCTTCTAATCTAGAACTACTTTTTACACTCGAGTGACATAAATATACACGTAAGCCTCGTAGTACCTAAGAATGTGCTTCTCCCCGTCGCGACGCTGTTTCGCATGGCGCGCATCCACACTGGTTGCAGGTCTTTTCTGCCTCCGACCAAGGACACGTATTTCCCGCACTGCACCACTAGGGACCGAATGATTACCGGCTTGGAGAACCGAATGTAGCCGGTCGTGGAGCTCAGTTCTGCGCCCTTGCGTCCGTGTATGTCTTCCGTGACCACCCACTTGCCCTCCCACGTCGACGAAATGCCCTCTGGCAGACCGTAACTATTGACCGCAGGCATGCGCCGGTCCAGGCTCATCTCGTCCACAGTGACCAGGCCGTAATTGTCGGACGGCGCAGGCAGCCGGGCTCGGACTGCTGGAGTCGTAGCTTCGTGCAGCGGACTAGTCCAATCAGGGTGGACCACTGCAAGGCTCTTGCTACGACTCTTTCGCTTTCGCCGCTTGCCTGTCTTCTTGTTTGTCGTGCTGCTCGTGCCAGACTTATTTTTCTCTCCCCTTGTGGACCATGCAAGTGCATTCGCTGCTTGGTTTCTGTAGTGATGTTCACGGTAGAAGTTCGCCAGTCGTTCCTCGTGGGTCGTCGGCGTCGGCATCAACATCTGGGTGCTCCCATCCTTCGTTACAACTTCTTGTCCTTCCACCATGAAGTCCTTATTGAACGGTATCGGCCCTTCGGGCGGCACATCGCCGGGCAATTTCTGCACGCCAGTTAGCTGCGTCACCTGCGACAACGCATTCATCGGCAAGTCACCCAACGATGGAAGAGCATTTCCATAGTCCCCAGCTTCAGAGACTCCGCCCTCCTCCGGACCGTCACCTTTGGAGAGCGCCGTCGGACTGTTCTGCACCACAGATCGTGGTATCACGCTCAGATCCCGATCGTTAAAACAGAACGGTCCGTCGATCGAAGAACACACTTTTCCGGGTGTCTTCGCAAGTCTGCCATCTCTGCGCACCTCTCCAGATGGCAAAAGCTGGGTTTTTTTAAGAATAACGTGCGAAGATTGATTTAGATTCGTGAGCGTCTCCAGACTTCAACGTGTAGTTTGTCGAATGCATGATGTTCTTGATGAAGCATCTACTTTGGAGGTAAAGGAAAAGGTATGTGATAAAGTTTATCAAATAATATGCGTTCTAGAACACACACAAACATCAACAAAGACTGAGGGTAATTCGAACAACGAGTACGCAGAAGAGAAGTATATTATAGTCCCTAGTTGTACCTGAAGCGTATTGTATGGCTGTGGCTCGATGAATTTCACGTCGACCAGAATGCGTTTCCTTTGTTCTTCCACTTGCTTTGCCACACTATGCGGGTCTAGATTGAGCGTGCCATCGATTGACAGCGCGAAGTAGACCAGAAAGAAAATGAGTTGGCGCGGAATAGTCGACGTGGCTGATGGATGCGGGAGCGCCTGCGCGGCGTTCAGTGAAGCCGTACTTATTCTCATCCTTGTTTTCTTTCAGTTTCACTTGCCTTGAATGGAAAAATATGTGAATCACCTGCGAACACGTTGAAAAGAACGAATGGGCAAGATGAAAGCCATGAGAAATCAAGCAATAAAATCCAGAAATAGCTTTTTTTTTATGCCAGATATCCGCTAGTGGTGGCGCTGACTGAGCAAAGCAAAGTTCCCAGATGAAATAAGAAGGTGGAAAACAAAGCTAGTAGTTTACTACTCCGTCAGTAGCAGCCTTCTTGAGCTGAACAAAAGAATTATTCTGGATCAAAATAAATTGATGGGAGTGGGACCACTCTCCTTTGATCAAAATAAACCAAATTTCATACCTATAATCGTAAAGGGGAAAGTGCGGGGTTGAGAATAAAGGGAGACGATTTTTTAATTATTGATGTTGTGATGAAACTCACGCTGTCGCTGCGGAGAGAAAGTAAAGATACAACATAAGGCATATGATTGATGTCTCTCTTCTGGCACTCGACATGAATCGATGCATCAGTTACGCGGCTCCGACTCGTTATTTCTCTCCAACATCACTCGTTACATTAAACAGGACACTTTCTTAACACCAGAACGATCTCTATCTCATGAAAACAGATTCACATTCTTTCAAAAAGAAACTCTAACTAACAGAAGAGTAATTCTCATTCATTTAAACAGAACATGAACCAGAGTGGATCCCTCGTTCAGGTCAGTTACATCATTCGATCGTTCGATTACCTGTCGAGGATCTGGATTTTCTTTGTTGATGAAATCGCACTGCTTACATCCGCGCTCTAGGGCTAAAGATGGAACACGAGACGCTCGTCTTCTAGGAAACAAGTGGCACAGCCAAGGGGTACATTCACATATATGAATGACCATGATGTGGTGTAGCTGTTTGCCTTAATTCTTTCTTGGATTCTGTCCAGACTGTTTTTAGCGTGGTTCTTCGTCTCCTACTCTTTCTTCGTGCCGCACAGGATTTCCCTTTCGCGCTTTACGTAAATCGGTATCTTTCCCTCGACTAAAATCTCGTCGACTTCTAGCTACGATGGGTCAATCTGCTCTTCAAATAAACAGACGTTTTCACGATTCACCAGCTAGCTCCTGCTGGTGCTGTCTCTTTTTTCACCTCTTTCGTTTCTGCAGCGGCTTCTTCCTCCTTCTTGTCCGCAGCATCCGAGCCTGCAGAATCTGCTACAACCGCATCTTCTGTAGGCGCTGCTTGTCCCTCTTCAAGAACAGCTTCGTCCGCTGCCTTCTCTTTAGTAGCTGCTTCAGCTCCAGCTGCTTCATCTGGCGGGGTCAACTCTTCTACCGCATTAGTAGGACCAGTGTCTGTGCCACTTTCTAATCCGTCGTATCTCATGGGCCCCGGAACCTGCCGTGTCGAGATCTGCGACACCGCTTTCTTCTTCGATTTCGTGGTGCTCTTTGTGCCGCTTTTTTCTGCGGTCTCGCCTCCAGCGGCAGCATCTTCAGTTGCTCCATCTTCTTGCGTAGCACTTGCTCCTGCCGGTGGTTCTGTCGTAGTATTAGAGGCCCGAAAACGTAGAGTTTGAGTTTGAACTATGTAATTTGATGACAACAACGTCGCCTTCTAATTTTCTCATATTAGAAATAAAACAAGAACTTGCGTGAGCTAGAGCTACTCCGCAACTTACTCCAACAAAAGGTCCCAGCATAAGTGGTATGACTTGCTGTACTGACCCCTGCGCGTGACGCGCCATGCGCTCAGGGTCGCTGTAGTAGATGTAATTTCCGCGAGTCTGCTTCATGTCCGCCCACACTTTCGAAATGCCGGACGCCTGCTCTGGTGAAAGCTTCCCGTGAAGAAATTTCACCAAAATATGAAAAAGGGGACGAAAACTCGTTCAGAATACGACAGATGGGCCTTTGCTTGTTGGTTCTAGTTCGACCTTCTTATGCTATTCAGCATCATGTTTGTAAAAATTTCAACAGTGAGTCCCTTACTTCTACAAAACTTAAAGGACCAGACGAGCTGGTGCAACAGTGAAACTACATTTACACATAATATTTCAGTCAAAAATCGTAAATGCTCATCTTCGGATTGTCCGACTTCTCTTCGAGAACGTGCCGCATCATCTCGTTCAGTGTGCGTTCGAGATTGTACGAGTGCATGAGTTAGAACAACAGTCACACTAAAACTACTGCGAAGCAGAACAACAAGTACGTAGACTGCATACAACATCTTCAAAAATATCAGACTTAATTATATCGATTTCCTCAGAATATTGATCAACTCTCCATCTACATGTCATCTAATTACTCCGGCTTTTTGTAGCGATCTATATCTATTACTGCCACATTCGACAAAAGCTAATAGCAGGTAGCCGCCGTAAACGTAGGCCTCCACTAGCTGTTGCTTTTTTGTCCATTTCCGCGCTGGATTGGGAGGCGCACCTTTTTTCCGACCACGACTGTTGCTTCGTCCCCTTGACGTAGGCCGCGAGGCCGACGACGCTGAAGACGCAAGAGGCATATTGTCACGTAACTATAAGTATGATATATGGTTAGTCTTACAGCAGTACGTAGATGAATTCGGCGAAATCTGATTCGTATACTAACTAGTATGATGAATTGAGCTTAGTAGTCGTTCTGATTTCAATCTTCTGGGGAAACCGTGTGACATCGAGGAGCGTCTCCAATTTTTCTGCTTGAACCACTCCATTTTGCTATTTCTCTTGGGCCTACAGACGAGCTGCCTTTTTTGTCTAGACCACCTGCGCTTAGAAGTCGAAGCGAACTACATTCGGATGCTGTGACATGTGCCGCAACGGCGTTCTTGTCCTTGTTGATTCCCACTTGTACTTCTCGTGGTTTTGCTTAGGTATCAGGTTGTTATTTGAATCTCGACGGAGCGTCTTCATTTTTTCGAATTGATGTTCAGGATTGATGTTCAGGATTCATTGAAAAACATAAGTTTGGTAAACTGTAGCTACGTCGTTCGTATGATTCATTGATCGCAATTTGGCTCAAAGAGGAGCCGAAAGCATCTTCCTTTCAAAGAAAACGAGTGGGAAATGTTCATGACTGAAGATCCCTTCAATGAGTTCACAATGGATCCCATTGGTATAATTGGTTGCGAAAATTAATCGTAAATAATGTAACATTGATTTGAGTATCTGGAACACAACATCAAAAAATAAACGAATAATCAAAAAATTTTCATGAGAAAAACACCTTAGTGTTAGTTGTAAAGTTCTTGAAAGAAATCAGATTAGAAATGAGCTTTGCCTTTTCCTAAAAGTAAACATGTACATAACTAAGTCGTGTTCTGACACAAGCCACGACTACTTTGCGTACTGCGCTTGCGTCTTCACGTGCGGAAGAAAAATGAGTTCCCCCCGAGATAACAATCTTAAATAGAACTTAAGGAGCGGAAGTGTGCGTCCAGGACCTCTTTGTGTGAACATCCATTTCCTTCCCGGCTTCCTTACCTTCTCATCGACGGCGCAGCGATTGATTGGTATATGCACAGCATCTGGGCCATGTTCTTACGACGGCGAAGCGACTTGATATGTGCACATATGTGAACGAAGCGTCTCGTAATTGACTCCGCCAGTGTCTTCCTCCTGGAGGAAATGCAGGAGAGTGTACTTCGCTTGATCGAGCTCGTCTTCATCGACTGCCTCCAATTTCTCAATCAGCTCCGCCACCGGCACATCCACATGCGGATTCACATTCCCGAATATACTGCTGAGGACCTGGATGTTTAGGAAGGTAATTCGCATGGAAATCAATCTGAAAGAATGGGAAGGAAAAATATGAATTATTGATCCAGGGCGACAGCAGTTCGTGTATTACGTATTTGTCTGTAAGTACTTGATCTTTTCTTTTTCCTGTTTCACTTCGTTCTCATTCTAAAATAAAAGGCCAGGGTGGTCCATCATCACCATCATCATCATCATCATCATCAAAATCCCAATGCCACAAGTACTTCATCCACTTCATTCAGTTTGATCGTCAAGGCGCTTCCAACCAGTAGGCGGACGAGTTGGGGTTCTGCGGTGAGACCGACCATCTGAGCTACTGCGTCGATTGTGTCCTGTGACAAGCCGAATTCCTGTAGGTCTGCGAGGTCCTCAGCACTCTCAGCCGCTGTCGCGATCGGAAACTGGAATTCCCAAGCTACGGCGCGAATCGCACTCCGCAATCGCAACTCGAGATCCCCGACTGCGTGAAGTGACTGCGGCTGCAGCGCCAACTCTTGGTGCGGAGAAAGGACGGACGAATTAGAGGAGACGATGTAGTCAGATGAAGGAGCCGAGCTCAACAAGACAGTAGGAAGATTTATGATCTAGGACTACTACTAATAGTGATATGCTCTACTTATAAGTACAAGCCGCTCGCGTTTTGCAAACAGAACTAGTATAACAGGCTCGCTTCTATTGAAAGCCTATTTTCAACACTCTCAGTTCGTCCAGAATTTCCATAATATTCGGAGATCGCGCTGTGAACCATTCATGCTGCAGGCAAAGGCGTGCTGATGGTCGCAACTGTGGATCTTCGCTTAACATCGCTAAGCAAAGTGAGGATGCTAGAGGCGAAACACCGGAAGCAACTCTCGTACTTTCGTCGAGTTCCTCTCGTAGACACGCCGCACGGTCGCCTTGCACACAGAAAGGAAGTGTTTTGCCAGTCAGGAACTGGAAAAAGATCGCGCCTAGCGCCCAGACATCGCCTTTCGCGCTTACGGCGCATTCCGCATCCGGTGCTTCGTGGAGCAAATCCACTGGCTGTGCTCGCAATGCCCACGATTCCTGTGTGAGAACAATGAATTTGAGTGTGATGCTACGAAACTATGAAACTACATACGCATGACGCCTGGCAACATGGCAAATATTTAGCGCTGAACTGGTTTGAAACTCATTAAAGAGATCATAAAATCAAAAATTTAGAATTTCTGAATCAATTTGGCAGCTTCACGAGCCTTGAAACTTTTGGAATTTTGAAAATTTTGATTTTATTCGAAAGAAAACAAATTTAAGTCCTTTGTTTTCAAATTTAATCTCTTTGAAAAAAATTTTTTTTCGAGCTGAGGTTGAGCTACAGAACGCTTACATCTAAGATTGATATTTGATGTGATATAACAATCAAAATCATACAGGCACGCATTACCATCTCTTTGAGTTTGAATTTCAAGATCATGATTAAATTGTTTAGGCGCCACAAGCACAAGTTTTGATGTACTTGATATCACGCCCGCGTGACGGATTTCCTCAATCATCAAGTACCTGATGTCTGAAGAGCGCGGTGAGGCCTGACTCTGCTAGCGCCATTCCTGGCGCAGAGCCTGGTCCATGCTCTTCAACATGAATTGTGCTTGCGCAGATATTTCCATGAACTAACCGCTCTTGATGCAGAAAAGCTGTGGCTTTCAGTAATTGACGCATCACTTCTGCAAGCCACCTCTCGTAGGGTCGGGTTTCCCCTATAGAACCCATCCGGGTCCAGTACACAGCTAGTTCCAAGCCAGCATGCTTCCGCAAAAGATAATACGAGTACGTGGATTCAAACCTGTGCGTAATCAAAAATTGATGTGACGGAGATTTGTGAATAACAGAGATTTCGAGATTAGTCATGGTCACCGAGTTCGAGGCCAATCTTTCCATACAACTACAGGTCATGTTTTTCTCAAATCAACCAGACAAATGTTCAACATGAGATCAACATCATCACAAGTGTACTTTTCGGAAAAGGGCAGCAGGTTCCGGTTCCGCTTCGCAGCGAGGTCGTACTTACGCAACTCTCTGCGCGCTAGGTCCTGTGGTAAGTTCAGTTGCGTTTTGCACACTTTCACGACTGCATAGGTTTGTCCAGTCTCCCTGCTTTCACAGCGCCAACGTCGGAAGGACACGGGAAATAGGACCTCTACGGTCGGATCCGGTGGTGGTAATGCGTCGAAGCGGCCGTCGGGGGACCAGATTTCAAAGTCCGCATCTAGCGACGCAGCATCCATGATCACTTGCGTGCCCTCTGAAGTGGTAGAGCTATTTCCACTGCCACCATAAGACAGACGGACAGGCGTCGGTGCGGACTCCGCGACGAAGAAGGCGCACAACGCTGCAAACTCGTCAAAGCTTATCCTACCATCCCCGTCATAGTCGAAGCGACCAAACCATGACTCGATTTTGTCTTCGACAAAGTCTGCGCGAGCGACACCTTCCGCGACACTGTCATGCACCAACTGGCAACATCTGTTTCATCACGGGAAAGTCATTCCATCGGTGAGATTTATTTCATTTTTGAGAAGATATAATCTCGTATCTGGCATTTCCAATTTTTCATTATATCCAGTTATTGGGCCAGACATGACCTCAACAAAACTAATGAAATGAGTACTCTGTCACGCACTCCTTCTTGAGAAGGTCTCGCGATGCGTACTTGCGAAAGCACGCTCTCAGGATTTCTTCTGTTTTTGCGTCGAACGCTACTCCTTGCAAGGTAGACGAGTCGTGTGGTTTAGCTGTTGACCCGCTCTCGCCCTCTCGAAAGCTGTATGTGCTTTCACGCCGTAACTCGTTTTCTCCTAGACCAAAATTAGCCCCTGAAGAAGAATTCTGCAGTCGATGCGAAGTCGAGGTATTTCCAGCACCGTCCATGCTTATCCTCCTTTTATCAGCGGCAGCGCGACTACCACGTTCCTTACTAAGGTGTAGATGAGGCACGGCTTGCTCGTCGTAATTGTTGTAAATATCGCTTTCACGTTCACGGTAAGAACCACTAGAAGTCCTCACAGAATTCCTCCCACCTCGCGAATTATCGTTCGCGTTATAGCTCATTTTGTCCACATGATGACTGTACTGGTTACTTGACTCCATTTGAGCCTGGTCGTGCGACGGATTATCGTTCGCGTTGTAGCTCATTTTGTCCACATGATGACTGTGCTGGTAACTTGACTCCATTTGAGCCTGGTCGTGCGACGGATTATTGTATTCACTGGATTTAACCGAAAATGAGGGCTCTCCTGGCCGCTTACGAGGCGGAGCCGTTGTCGGCACTACAAATTCGTCGGTGACGGAGGGTGGCAAATCTCCACCTAGTGAGCCGCGTCTAGAGCTCCCACCAGATCGTGTTGTTCGCGGACGAGCCTGCTGACTTCCTGCCTGTTGCAAGGGAGGCCCTACCTGCTGTGTGGATCGAGTACTAGCGGCATCGACGGGATGGTAGTTGTTATTATTGTAGGTAGGCGATGTCGATGATCCAGAGGCCGCACCTCCACCAAGTATATTCATGTTGCCGCTAGTATAATTGGAGGCACTAGTACTACTGCCTGGCCTGGTAAACCTACTAGATGATCCTACAACTCCTCCACGTGCCAGTTCGACGTGTCCCCCCGTTGGCGTCCTGCCACCCGAAGACATCTCTTTGCTGCTGCCGCGACTCCCTACGCGACTACGCGGCTTCGACATGTTACCACCATTTCGGGCACCTACACTTGACTCGGTCGTAGGAGGCGAAGCCGAACTTGACGACGATAACAACTTTTCTTCCAGAATCTGCATCATTTCTCCACGCGAATTGAGGTTTCTCACGACTCCCAGCTTGCGGCACTCCAAAACAAGACCGGAATCGGAATAAGTCGCATACTTTTGCCAAAATTCGATTTTCTTCTGGAGGACTGCCGCATCCGCAGTGGACCGAGCCTCACCCCGATCCGATACAGGACTTCTCGAAGGGACAGCATCCTTGCCACTTCGAAGAAGGCCACTGCTGCCGCTGCCAAAAGGAGGGAAAATAAACATTATGAAACGCTTATTCTCGCAAATGCAAGAGGTAGCTGAGTGAGATATACGCTGAGTCTGAGTTGATAGAGGTTGAGAAGTTAAATAGAAGATATAGTACCTCAACATCCGAAACTAGTAAACGAAAGTTTACCTTGGAGACTGCAGGCTGCTCATTTTCGTTAGCTTTAGACCTTCAACAATGGGCGCATGGAAGGATTGCAGGCTTGACTGCTCATCCTTTTTAGCCGATGCCGGCTCATCGTCCGTTCCAGTACCTATTCGATTTTCCACACACGGTATGAAATCCTCCTACTTAAAGATAGACAACTTATAGACGAATTACAATCAGTTCGAAGAGAAGATTCTTGGCGTTCAGTGATACTTTATCTTTATAACTTGTTTTTGTGTAAAATAGTGCAACTGTTCCAGTACCAAAGACATCTCTAAGTTCTTTCTTTGCTGCGGACTCGTCTGCGAGTTTGCTGTACTCGTTCGGGATCGGCGAGATTTCGTTGGGATTGAACTCTAAGTGCTTTCGCGTTGGGGAGTAATCTGAGGTGCTGAGCTGTTGCTCGTCCCGCAAGCCTGCTACACCTCCTCGGTTATTGGTCATATTGTACGCGGTAGCTGACGCTTTGTAGGCAGAAGATATCTGTGAGTCGGGTGCGCGATGACGACCAGCGTCACTGTCTGGCGAAATCGAAGGCGATGCCGTCAGACCTTGAGCCTCGTCCTGTGCCGATAACTTCTCGAAACCGAGGTGTTGCTGTAGGCCTTGCTTCTGAGCCTCAAGGGTGCCACCTTGTGCACCACGCGCTTCACCGGACGACGAACTGCTAGAAGCTGAGTGTCCTCCAGCTCCGCCGAGTCTGCTCAGCGCACGCTTGATCTCGCTACCAGCTGTGCTCGTCTGGTGAAACGTGGTACTGGGTGCGGGACTCCCGCGAACGATGCTTCCGACGACAGAGGGCGCGATGGAAGACAAAGGTGTGGCCAGCTGCTGCCCGGCTGCTTCCGCTGCGTTCTTCGCTTCCTCCGAGATGCTTTGGGGTGGCCGTCTCTCCTCGCGCAACTGCCTCGCAGACGACCATGTAGCCGGTCGCTCACCTGATGTTGAGGTCTTCCCTTTCCCTCCGGAGACCATCGATGATGAGCTTAGACCGCGGCTCGCGCCACCAAGACCAAGTGGCGAACCTCCAGGTGGCGGACTGCTAAGGTGGTCGCTCAGACAGGACAATCGGTCATGCTTTTTTCCCACAAGTTCGTAGATGCGATTCAGTTTCGCACGGATCGCACTCATGTCCATGGGTTCTCCTGGACTCGACTCTAGTGAAAATCGTTTCCCCCCGCTTGCACCCATAAAGGCGCTCTCTCGAAAGGCGCCCGATGTAGACCCAAGAGCTCCAGGAGTCTGCGCGACTACTGTCTGAGGACCTGCACCTCCTCCTTGGAGATGCGTCTGTCCCCCACTGGGGAGGTCTTGCACATTACTATCTTCTAGTTGGGCGTGCAGATTCGATGCCGACTGAGACACCCCAAAGCGGTCTAGAAGCGATGTAGCCGAAACATTGTTCTCTACCGCCTTCACGGATGACGCTTGTACCTATGGAGCATTGTTGCTATGCAACTAATCGGAACCACGAAAACCATCATAAACACGCTTCAATCAGAAAACGCATTTTCTCTTGGCTCATCAGATACCAAGAGGACTACGATTAGTTCAGAACTCCAGAATAAAGTAGCTCCAACACCAGTCGAGTGACTGAAATCCGTGGATTGCAAACTTCACTCATAGATACCTCCACGACGTCGTGATCTGGAACCTCCATCGTGCCGCGGTCTGACACCACAGCTACAGGGACTACGTTCGTCCTATAACCGCTTCCCGAATCCCGCATAGCCGCTTCCTGTTGATACTGCCGCCAACCATAGGCGCCGCCAGCCCTCGAACTTCGGTTACTCTGCAGACTGCCTGCGCGCGAGCCGTTGTTCAGCAGGCTTTCCTGTTGACTCGTTCTCAGCGACCGCGTATTCGAAGCCGAAGGCACGTTGGCTGGTCCAGCCTGGTGAAGTTCCGCAGAAAGTCGCGACGCGGAAGCGTTTATCATCTGTCCTCCGCTTCGGTCGATCAGTGTCGCGGATGCTGGTGCTTCGTGATGAAAGTCCTTTGTCACGTTCTCACTCCGCGACACTGCAAAAGCGATTTGCCGAGCGTCAAGGCGCTCCACATCCGAAATCGTCCGATTATCAAAGTATGCTTGTTCCATCTGCGTGGGCGTGTGCGCGGCAGAACCCGTTAAGCCCACCACGACATTGGACTTTGCACTGCGCACCGATGACATGGTAGACTGACCGGTCGGTTGATGCGACGTGCTCCCAGACGATATCTGCTGTGGTTGCAAAACGGTTCGCTGACCCCTTGTCGGTGTCGTTCCTCTAAGTGGAGGATCAAAGCGCCCCCTAGCGCTGCTTGATGTCGCTCTCGCTGTAGAACTTGATGTTGGTCCAACAATAGTCGATGTTGTACTGGGAAGCACACCTGACGCTCCAACTGCCACGTGGTCACCAGCCCCAGTACTAGAAGAAGTACCGATAGTACCAGATATCCTATTTGATATTACTAGGTCTCTAGTTGTACCTCCTCCGACCACTTGCTGTGCTGATCCATGGTCGCTGCCTCTCATCTGAAAGTGAGAAGACTGTACTACACCTCCTGATGAATGAACGCCGCTGAGCACCGTGGTTGCCTTAGACGAGGATACCGATCCGCCGAAGCCCTCTACGTTTGACGCGGCCCCGCCAACCGGCGTCCTCGCAGCCGACGACGAGGCGGTGGTGCTGGACCGCGGGATGGTCGCTGGCTGCACCCCAACGGCAGTCCGCGAGCCCAAAAGACTCCCGATCCGGGCGCTCATTCCCGCTGCTGACGTGGGCAGACGGATCAAAGCTTCCTGGCTCGCAGGCTCATGTTGCACCACTCCCGATGGTGTGAGTCCTCCGCTGGGACCTGCCGCCGCGCGACTGTAACTACTGGAGGTAGAGGATGACTGCTGATGTCCTCCTTGCTGGCTCCCTCGACTCTGAAGATGAAGATGCGTGGTAGTTCCTACTTGTTGAGAGGATGCTCTGGCTACACCACGCGCACTGCGAGACGCGACGCCACTGCCACTTAGCACCGTCGATCCCGTGTTCTCAAGGGCGGAAGACTGATTCAGCTGCGATTCGTGATACGATGAGCCGGGGCCGGCACGAGAAGGAGCTGCGTGCGCACGGACCCAACCTGGCGTCGACGCGCTTGCGTGGATTCCAACTGAACTCTGTAGTAAAATAGTGATTTCGACGTCGTCTTCGTCAGTGAGTGGTGCTATTAATGAAGAGCAATCATAATCGACGAATATCGATATGGTATGTAAACGAATGTTTAAAACAACACATTATTCAATCATCGTCGAATGGGTGGATTGCTCAAGTACAAGGAGAACCGCTAAAGCTGTTTCCACCAACAAGGAACGACTACCTTTGCGCATGGGGGAAGACATAGAGATAGAGTTGTTAGACGAGGAGTAAACTTTACTAAAAACAGTAGTACTGGGTTATGTATAAGTACCACTGGAGTTGTGCCACGACTGGACGTAGAGTGTTGCGACCGCTCAATTGGCGCAGTCCGGCGCAAGCTGTTCAGGTCGAATCCCAATCCTATTCGTGGCTGCAACAACTGAACAGGCGATTGGTGTCTCAGCATCTGGCCATGATTCGGTAAACCTGCTGATGACGCTGTGCTGCTCATCGTCTGCAGAACTTAGAAAAGACGACTCTGATGGGTATGATCAAAGGAGAAATAAGTACCGAGCTTCACTTTCGAAGAACTCAAAATTTGAGCACGATGAACTTTCTTCAAGCGCCAATGTATTTTTTGTCTCTCATACTTATACATAGAACTAGTACTCAAACTAGTGATATTATGTCTTAAATAGAGAATTGCCGCATCACTGGTGGGGGTTGGCCTGAAGGGGCGTACTGGTAGGTTCCCCCGATGATTGGTGGCACCATTGATGCCTGGCGACTGACACCGTTCACAGCGCCGCCAGCGACTACCTTTGCAGGCTGCTGAGAGACCTGCCGACGCACGAAAGGCGCCGAAGGCTCGCTTGCACCGAACTGGTATGATGAGGACGAAGGCATAGCGGATGGCATCGCATGGAACTAGAAAGTCTACACTTCTATGACTGCGATAGGTCTACAACTAGTACCTGAAACAAAGTACTTACGTACACGTACTAATAGAACTGCACACCCTACTAGAGGCTTGAGATTCCCTTGAAGAACTCACTCATTCTTGGCTGGCAACATCTTCCGGACAAGGTCATGCGATGTTCGATGTACACAACTTGACTATTTCTTTGAGGCAGGCACAAGCACGTCCACATACACGTTATGTCTATGTATAAGTCCATCTATACATAATCAGAATCAAAGCACCCTTTCTCTACTTGCAGACTGTCTTGCACTTTATCCATATCAACGACTGCAACTCCGATAAAAAAAGGCCTCGCGCACCACAGCGATTGGAGTAATAATTGATCAGCATAAGCATTAAATATTATTCATCACAACGATTCGTCTGAAGCCCCGTGGTCTAAGGCCATTGCGTAGCTTGCTTCATTCTGTGAATCTCTCGAGGAAGATTTCAGCTCATTTAAACTGTTCCAAATCTGCCTGTTCATCGTCTTAACTTTATGTCGAGCGAAAACTACAAGAATCACTCGAATATTCTCTCGATGTAAGAAGTTATGAAGACGAACAAGAGAATCGAAAAAACCAGACGTTTTCGGCTCCTTTGGCAATATTGTTCCGAAGCTGCTAGCACAGCACGTTAGAGACTGTAAACACAACATGCGAGCGAGTTCTGTAATAGACATACGCGAAAACTTGTCGATTTTCGTCAAATGTGTTACAGCACAAGTCGAAGAGTTGGAACATGTCTTCTAGTGGCGTTGCAGCGAGGGATTTAATATGCCTTGCTTAGCTCTCACTCTCACTTCGAATGAGTGGGGCATCGTCAATATTCGCGTGTTGAAAATGAGAAATATATATAACGACACTCGCAGTATCATGGACTGCGTTGGAAGTCAGTAATCTCCTCGGGGTTGCCAACTGCCCAAAAGGTTCGCCAAACCGTAGAGAGGCCAGTAGAAGTTCGCGCCCAAGTGAGTCGCACCGCCGAAGGAAGACAAGCAAGGAACGGCAAACCACAGCGAAGGAGGAGGCTCGGAAGGTAGAACACCACTAGGATCCAACTCAATCGAGCACAGTCACGCTGGTGCTTTCTCACGAACTGGGCTCACGTCGCTGCTCCTCCCTAAAGGATCCAAGACCATCAAGATGACAAGCAAGGCTGGCTGGCCTTCGAGCTCTTTGGCTCGTTGTTCTTTTGTTCAAGTGCACCGATTGACTCACATCAAGCCGCCAAGTCGGGAAGTGGAACACCTTCAAGGCCTTACAGCTTGGGCACTTCGAGCTGTCTCCGACAGATTGCGCCACGATCTCTATGAACGAAGGACCCCGCGCCGCGTATCTATTGAACAACATAAAAGCTACAGAGCTAAATTAAAAAACAACAACGACCCCGCCAGACTCTCACTCTCCCACTTCAAAACCCAAGCCCCAGGCTCTCACCCTTTCACATTTGAACTCATAGGCTTGCGAACTCATGAACTTATGAACTTATGAACTCGAATAAACTCCTTAAAGTAAAAAATTTTGGAATTTGAGGAATTCAAATCCAAGAAAGTGCAAGACTTGAAAAACCTCGAAGAGCCATAATCATGCGCAGCCTTTCATAAAATCTAAAAATCTTTTTAAAAATTTAAAAATTTTCGAAAAGATAGAAAACTTTCGAAAAAAATAGAAAAATTTTCGAAAAAATAGAAACTATTTCGAAAAAATCAAAAAACTTTTGAAAAAAATAGAAAAATTTTCGAAAAAATAGAAACTATTTCGAAAAAATCAAAAAACTTTTGAAAAAATCTAAAAATTTTCGATAAACCACAAAAACTTCGAATATATTGGAAAATCCTTTTATAAATTAAATAACTATATGAAGTGTAAATGTTTACTCAATCGAAATTAGAGAACAAAAAAATGATATATTGTAAGAAGTTGAAATTTTGAAAAAATTTCGAAATTTTCAAAAAAGTCTTAAATTTTGAAAAAAATTCGTATTTATAAAAACCCTTGAACCAATTCAAAAGGTTGAAACAATGGGAAATTACGAAGCGATTTGAAATTTGCAAAAATTCGAACCTTCTGGGGGCGTCTACGATGTCGACCAAGCGGTGGCTTCTTGGGTGGATGAGTTCATGACCCACCGCATAGGTGCACAGCTGAGAGCTGTGGGCCTCGGGAACAAGGAAGGGCGCGGCCTCCACCGTTGGGCCCCGTCGCTAACAGAAGGCGCCAAGGACCTTCGCCCTCGTGCGGACGACTTGCCACCGAGTCCAGGCGCTGGCTTGGAGGAAGAAGACGGAGAAGCGCCGTGCCTGGAGCCTCGCAGAATTCGCGTGCAGAAGTACGATTATGGAAACCTTAACAAAGGCAGTGCTTCTGTAGTGGACATCCCATCGCGTCACTCTCCTTCCTTCAGTTCAGTCGTGCTCCATGTGCAGTCATTATCTTTTTTGAGGTAGTTCCTTCTCTTGCTTTTCTAACCTCCCAAGCCGCAACCGACTCACGACGAACAAACACGACGAGCAAATCGAAGAAAAGTATCAGGAGTGTCCGATCCTCAAGTTGGTGCTGAAAGGGGCTCCCTTTAACGTACTACTGCTTTGATCAGATTCCCAGACTTACCTTATCCCCTCCTTCGCATAGTTCATATGAATGCATCTACTGCTTACGGTTGTAGCAAGAATTCACGTCCATCCTTAACTTCCCCTTATTTCAGCTTATCGCAAGCGGCAACAAGCGGAAGGAGTATCGGGAGTGTTCCACCTTCATGGACCAGCGGCTTTTCGTGGATGCAAAAAGTCAAACTGGGCCCCGTCGTTACGATTACGTAGACCTTTACAAAGGGCACGAGAAGAACAGACCCTGGCTACGCGTCGAGTATCAAGGGTTCGAGAGAAAGCAACTGCTAGCGGATTTCACTTATCCCGAAGCGTCCGGGGTGCACCTGAAGCCCGGCGAGTACTACGTGATTAGTCTCGGCAACGTAGTGGAAGCCCACAACATTCCGCATAACATGCAAGATCCCACGACGGTACCGGTCAAGTCGCCAACCGGTGAACCGTGAGTGGCCTAAGTGTAATCAGTCGAAGAATTTCTACAGTAGTAGGCTCTGTTTCTCACATATGCCGCCTATTCTAGCAAAGTCAAATTTCGTAGCACTTGAAAGATTCACCCATTCGCTCATAGTAAAGATAATATGTCAACCATTCCAATTATCACATTCACACGCTAAAAATGCACGAGATTCATTCAAGATTTAGTAGCCTTAACGATTTTGCATTCACTGTTTTCGCATCCATCGCCATCGATCTCATTTATCATGGTAGTACCATATGAGTAAAAGTTGTTTTTTCATGCTCCAAATTTAGCGCAGAACGTCACTATTCCGTAGCACTTTCGCGTCAGTCAACGTTATTCTATTCCACAGAAACCAATTAGTTCAAAAAATGAAGATCAAGAACGTCAGGTTTGCACATGCACAATAAGTACAAAAAATGAAGATCAAGAACGTCGGGTTTGTACATGCTATTCGACATGCCTGCACTTACTTACCTCGGGCCAAATACTGCCGACGTGTATCACAAGTTATAAATATCTTAATGCTTTGCCTCGCGTTTGCATAGCCGTAGACTTCAAAAAGATGGTCTCCACCACAGATATACTCGACCAGCTGTAATGAGTTCGCTAGCAAAGCCTGAAAACTAGAAGTAGACCAAATTCACAAAGATCATACTCATACCGCCATAAAATCACGTGGGACCATCGTCACATTACTCACTTCTAGCGTTCAACTTTTCCAGTGACCAGATGAAAAGACAGCCATTTTATTACTCAGCCAGGGGGCCCCACTTGTACAGAAACAGAAACTGATGCACTGAGAAAGAATAATTTATACCTGCGACCGGAATCCTCTTCCTCTTCGCTTCGTGTTCTTCTCCTACTTCCACCCGTCGCGCCAAATCCAGTTCGTACAAAGTCGCCGCACCAAGCACATACCTCAGAGTTGAAATGAATGAAGCATAAAGATGCCACTACCCCGATAAAGTAAAAATCTGACACGATAACACCTTTTCGTTTTCTGTTTCGTATAAAAAAGCCACACTTAAGCACAGCCACAGGGAGTACTATATACCATATTTCCCCCCCGCAGCCGCGTACCATTCTCAGCTTGCTAAGGCCTCTCTCACCTCCTTCTTGTGGTTGTGAGTTCTTATTTTGTGAGGAAACGAAGCGCCAGCGGCAGAGGGTGCTGGAGGAGAAGGAGCAAAAGATTAAGAGTCGTGCGATAGTCTGCGTACTAGTTTGGGAAGTTCAAGAAGCTGTAGAGGTTGAAGCTGTAGTGATGTATCCCTCCTACTAGTGGGCACAGTCATGCATTAGCATCTTTCTCTAACAAAGAGGCGCACCCGCAGCAGGGGAGAATAAAGATGGCGAGACAAAAGCTGAGGGAGATGCACCAAAGGCTGAGGGCGACGGCGAGAAAAAAGCTGAAGGGGACGCGAACAAAGGTACTTGGTTGCAATTTTTAACTTTAAATGTTTCATGATAGAAGGCCAATATCAAGCTCTTCCTTACGACCTCCCCGTCTAGTTCTATCAATATCTTCTTCTCGTTGCTTCTCCTTCTTCAAGCATTCTATTGAGTCATCACAGTCTCATTTCTACTTAACAAACTAACAGACGAAGAACAAGTCGCTTCCTGGTTCATCCAACAATCTCAAAAAAACACAGACGAAGAAGAAGCCGCTTCTTGGTTCTGGGTGGGATTCGCTGTCGCTGTAGTGGTTTTGGTGCTTCTAGGTACTTTTGCGGCGTTGAGCACTCTTACGGGAACGCTCGAAACAGAAAGTGCGCCAATCGATGAAGAGGATTAAGAAGATCTTTCGTTAGTTAGGTGTAGGATGGGGATTGGAGAAGGAGAGCAGAGGGCTGCAGTGTAGAAATAGGAGTAGACGCTGAAGAGTAAGAAATTGCGTATAAGTAAATGGTGTGCTAGGTCTCGGAGGGGAAGAAGAACGCAAAAACGGTGTTTGATGACGTTGACAAGAACTCCTCTGATACCCTGACGAGGCTATCTAGAAATCTAGTTTAGCAAAAATTCCAAGAAATGAACCAAACAGAAAAGAGTATGAAGTCGTGACTATGCAGCAAGACCAAGATCGTGCTACTTAGCCTCTACTAATATCAAACTGCATCGAGAATAACGAGCAACACTATGTTTTGTACGGCTTCATCTCATGTCGATAATGACCCAGAAAATGATAATGAACGAGGATGCCACTTCATCATTTAGATTTTTGCCCAAGAAAACTAACGACTAAGCAAATGCACCTTGTGCTGTGTGTCGATCTAGAACTAGAAGAGTCCAGAAATGAACGAATGCGAGGAAGTAAGAAGCCGTGGCCAAAAAAGAAGAAACAAAGCAACGAACAACGTACAAAGCGACAACATGTATCAATATAAGAGCTGCGTGCCAAGACCTGGCGCTCGTTCTGTGCTTGTTGTGGGAGGTGTTCAAGAAAGAACGTGACGGTAAAGTTAAGAGTGATCAATCTGAGCCATGATGTGAAGAAAAACGAAAATGGGGCATAACTCACAGAGCGGTCAGCAAGCTAGGTCGTCACTATGTGTTCAACGCGCGGGGTACTACAGAGGCAGATAGGTTTAAAAGCACGACCTCGAAAGAGCGAACTTACTTCATGCACACACCTCATCTCCTATTCGCCTTCAGGCTGACACTTATGCACTCGCGTCCGCGTTTTACCTCCACCTCTTTCTCTGTGTCAGTCTATTCTCAATCCTCACTTCTTCGCTCACTCGTCCCAACTTCGGAGACAGAGCCACTTGTTGAGAGCAGTCTGGATGTCTGTGACTTTATTTCACGCTTAGCCGCTCTTTGGTGTCTCGCGACAGACATGCTATCTCTCTCTCCCTCTCGACAGACGTCCCTCTCTCTCTCGACAGACATGCTATCTCTCTCTCTCAGTCTCGTCTTCCTCTCTGGGTTCTCCAGGCAGACCAGCGCCCTCTCGCTCTTACGCCTCTCACCGATAAGCGTCCTTCGCCTTCCCCCTCTGAAGTCTCCCATCAGGCACTGGTGGCGTGTCACGTTCCTCTTGCTCTCACTTGAGCACGCTGAAGGTACTGAATCGTGAAAAAACCGACGCCCTCTACCACTTCTCCAACATCCATCGTGCTTCATGGTCCGCTAGAACAAGAGCAGCTGTCTCAAGTGCATTTCTCTGATTTACTTTTTCATGATGTTCATGAGCATGTGTGAGAGTATAATGCGTAACAAGTGTGCTGAGAATTGCCGTCGTGTGTCTGTACCCCCCGAAGTAGAGGCTGTACTCTGACAAACGAATTTGAAGCGTGCTGCAGTACCAATGTCAATTGTTCTCTACTTCCCCCCGCTCTAGCAGTTTCCAGCTTTCATCAGACAAATACTATTTGTGCAGAGTTTAGGCGGAAATAAGACTGAAAGTGTTGACATGCGAAGAATAGATACTATCTACTCATCCCCACAGCCACACCCAGAGGACCCACTTCTACTAGAAGTTTAAAAATTGCGGCAGTTGTTCACTTCTACTTCTACTACGTACTGAAGGTGACAGAGAGGCAAGCCGCAGTCTAGTCCTGTCCTCTAACTACCTAGTACACCTACGACCGGCCGACCATCATTTTCCTAACAATCTCGAGAGCCTTAGAATTCAAGGAACGATTTTCCTAACAAAAAACGAAAGATATTGCATCTTGAGAGAACTCAGAACTCAGAGCTCTTTTCCTTCCGCTTCTGCACTGCAAGAGGACATTTTTATACTTTGTTCATTTTCCTAACAAGTAGAATCAATGGTTGTAGGAGAAGCTCAAACTTCCACGCCATTGCAACCATTTGCCCATGACATCTTAACGACGTCAGGAGACAGCTGGCACTATCATCGAAGCTGCAGACGCAAGAATTATACGCATTTTTGCAGTAGTGTCGTGCTTGTGGTGGAGATGGAGCGGAGTAGGAGCAGCTAACAACTAGATACAATTTCGTACAAGTGCAATATTTTTCATGAGTAAACCTCTAACTATTGAACAAGTTTAAATGCTGCAAGGAACTTCACACAGGACTCCTAATGCGGGCCTTATACTTTGGCCTTTATGCTTTAATTATGATTATGGGTCTGGCTCGTGCTTGAAGATTTTGATACAACTTGATGCATGTTTGGTGGACGATAAACCAGATCAACCACGACAACCTTGGGCCTACTTTTGCACTTTGAAACTTATGAGTAATCTAATGACCAACACCAAGATCATACTGATGCTGGTCGTGGTGCTCGTGCTGCTGACCACTCTCGTCTTCTTCTGAACTATAGTATAGATCTAGTCTGTGCTTGTACTTGCTTCCAGACCCATACTTACGATGCTACTTTTACTCGCAAAAGTTGAAACCCTAAGACCTTCTTGCTCTTACCACACATAATTTAGATAGGCTACAATCGAAGAACATACTTAATATGGTAAAACCAACGTGATCAAGCTTTATATTGCTCCTCGAGTTATACAAGAACAACACTAATAACGACGACGCACCAACTGTAAAGCCATCATCTCCTGCATCTGCGTATTAACTTAACGATATTAACCAACCTAAACGACCTAAACCTAGCGTAACTACTAAATCCACAACGACGCCCGCGAGTGATCTTCCATCCTCAACATATGCTACCGTGGCCCAATTATACTGCGCTATATCCTCCAGTCTTACTCCTACCCGATCCCAATGTTCCTTATACTCAAGGACTGTGCCCAATGTTCCTCATACTCAAGGACTACCCAAAAACGCTCCTCATACTCAAGGACTGCCCAATGGATGCTCCTCATCCTCACCAGTTTGCACGCAGGGCTCCTCATCCATCCTCACCTAGTTTTGAAGCTAGTTCTTCACTAAGTTCCTGGTTGAGTGTGTGGCTTTCTCTCGTCCCCTCGATATACTTTTCCCCTTCAGGAGGGTGCTCCGACTCGGGATATTACCTTACTCTGGAAGATAGTGAAAAACAAAAGTGACGCTTAACATTCTCACATCCAATTCGTGTAAATGCCTGGGCAGAAGTGCAAAAAGTGCTTGTACTCGACCTCCACACCGACTGCGTCTTGAAAATTAGAGCTGCTTCCGCTGGTCTCTATGACTATCATGTCGCAGGACGGCGTCGACGTGGTTAGTAGCTCTCTACCTACCACCGCCCACCTATCCTCTTCTAAAAAAATGCTCTTGCTGAAGCTGATGAGCTTCTACTTTGTAGCTGATAGTCAATGCCGTCTTTCTATAATTGCCTTTGATCTTGTCCGCTAATCTAACTACACACACCTTCATCCAAAATCCGAAAAAAATTAGAAGAAGAACCGTCCATCACCTTCTCGTGGGCCTTAAGGAGAGGCCCAATCGGTCCATACGCGCGCCATCGCAACGCCAGCATAAACTGTCCCCAATAACCGAGCCAACGCATTAGAAAAAAAGAGGCGCCATTAGCATTATAGTCGAAATTATAGATTGATGTAGATGCACAGCTAGTACTTACAACTTCTGGAGGTCTTTCTCCTGTAGGAGTAGTTGCCCTCGAGCTTATTATTTATCTCTCTTCTTGCAGCCTTCAACTTCTAACTAATTCCACGCCTTTCATCTATTCAACACTGCCCGCACCTTGTGACCTGCGAATGCGATTGCCCACCTTGCTGAAATATCAGGGACAACGACGGACAACTTAAGTATCTACTCTTCAAGAAGTTGAAGTTGTCCGTTCTCCTGTCCTCGAACTTCTATATCCACGCCTTTCATCTATTCAATATTGCAGCCTACAACAACTTCCAGCTCAAGAGCTTCAACTTCACCTGATTCATAACAGCACCATGGTCGCCGATGGTCGCAAACGTCCGTAGGAAAACATCTGGTCGTTGTATGCTCCTAGCATCTCCCGCCAAGTCAGCACGCCCTTAAAATGCACTTGAAACGTGATCAACGACCACACGGCCACATCCGTCAAGAAGAAGACTAGAAGTTAGAAAACAGAGGGGGTTAGGGTAGGGCTATAGGATAGCTCTTAGAGCAGGGGGTTAGGGTAGGGCTCACCGGGTTACAGCCGTGAAAAAAAAAGACTGGAAGGTTAGAGTCTAAACGAGCACTGACACGGGGTTGCCTTAGGGGTGTAGGTGTACCCACCTCATCCACTAGTAAAAACTAACTGTGCTTCTCCTCGTCCTGCTTAGTATCCTCTCTCATAAAGCGTGTACACGAAGTACTGGTCATCGATTCGGGGTGTGCCAGTGAGTTCTTTTTCCGGTCGAGGAAAACCAGGAGACATCGAAATGTCCGTCAGTAAGCCGATGAGATTAGACCTCACCTCACCCAGATTCATTTTCTTCATCTGCTTGAGCTGCGTCTGCAGCTGCTTTAGTTCCCTTACAAGACGACAGCTCCAACTCCAAGGACGCGTCTTACAGAACCACAGCTCCAAAATTAGTATGCAGAAGAAGATGCTGGATCATATTTATAGGGTATTATCTTGAGCCTTAAAGAGCGGACCGAAGAGAATGACGCTGGACGTGACGAGTTTGATAATGCTTCGAATCGTGAACCGCATAAACATTTCACGCTGAACGAACGCGATCACGTGCCGCACTCTGCGAATGTCGCAGGTTAGAAGAACAAGAAGATGATGATAGAAACCTACTGCCATTTGTCTTACATAATCATAAGGTATCGGCACGATATAACATATCGTGCCACTCTAACAACGAACTTACTTCTTGAGCCGAGTTCGACAAGTGCCTTCTTAAAAAGTCCTCATCTACTTCAATATCTTAAACACCACGATTATGTTGACAGGAAAAAGTCGTGTACTCAGACTCAAGAAAAGAGGCTTTCGCCCACTTAGAAACTGCCCTAACTCCTCATCGACTTTATGTTTGTCCTGAAATCTCGAAGCCAGTCGGGTGAGACGCAGGTTCAGGGTTGGGCGGGCGTTTGCTGAGGGGTCGTCGTCATCACGACTCACGCGAGAGAATGGGCGAAGTCTGAGAAGTGGTAGAACGAGTGCTGTGAGTGTAGTTGCTGGAGCAGGATGAATGTTTATGTTCTTGGAGAATACAAATAAAGAATGAGAATTGCTCTAGTTGAAAGATCATTTGGCTTCAAATCTAGAATAGAGGACGAATCAAGGAAAGCAAGTACCTCGGGCAATTTGTGCATTTGACCGAAGTGTTCGCGAAGTTAAACGCGCGAGCGTAAGTCCCATCAGGTGCCAGCGTAGCCAATTTGCGCATAGCCGCCTGCTCTTCCTCGTCCTTTGGATTAGAAAGGATCCATCACACCATTTTCGAGCATTTTCCACAACTGGACACTACACGGACACGGAGTGTAGTGTATTGCTCTGGCAAGTGGTAACCTGATTTCGATCTCTTCTTGCTTCCCCTACTAATAGTGGTAGAGCCGTCCTAACTAGGAGAGATATAAAAAGATATATCATATGCTCCGCCTAAGAATCAGAATCCGGCTACCAAAAACGAATACGATACAGCATAGTGCTCGCGTTCTTTTCTTAAAAGTTTGTTAGTAGTAGAGCCAGATGTTGCACAACAGCCTTAGCCTTAACGTCATCGCCTTGCTCACCACCTTTCACAGACCCGTCGCTTGCCTTGTTCATTATGGGTGTGCCAAGGACAGCCTCCTCATCAGCGTCTTGTGCCATGCTCTCCTCTGCCACTCGATAAGAGTCCGTCAATAAGTCGCGCGGTTTCTTAGAGCCAGACGAGTGCAGTTTGTTGTATCTTCAATAACTAAGAGAGGAGCTGACGTTGAAGAAGACCAAGACCGCCAACAGCATAATAACTGGTAAGCAAGAGATAAGAGCCGACAAATACAGGCAGCGTTAGGTTAGCCGAGCGGAAGGGGGCCCGGGACATCCTCTTAAGCGCCCCCTGCAAGGATGCCTCCTCCAACATCCGGTGTTGTTGGCGGTCTTCTACAACAAAGTGGCCACGGACACAATAAGAACAAGAATAAGCATGCGCCAACACGATACCACGTCAATGAGTTGCTATCTATTTAATCTCAGATAAGCCAGTGACCATTAAAGAAAGCCCTAATCTCGACTGCAAGCACCTCTAGGACTTCTTTTTCCGTCAATTCCTTCTCCTCTTGCCCATTCGTCGTTTCCTCATTTGGCACATCATTCTCGGGAACGGTATCCGCAAACCTCGCGGAGGCCCGCGACCCTCGCAAAATCTGAGATGATCGCCCGGCGCCGCTTCCTAGGGCTCTGAGTTAGAAAATGTTCCTGCTCAATCTTCACGCAGCTCATAGCTCATGCCCATTCTTCTTCTTCTACTTGTACGTACCTACTTACTGTTACTCTAGTGGCGAAGTCAAAAAGCAGACTGATTACTAGTATTCAAGGTAGAAGCTGTGCTGCAGATATAGTTTTGCCGGTGAGAAGCAGAGGCACTAGGAACAGGCAACTTTGTTCAGCAATTTCTTCTGTCAATGGTGCCCTTCATAAGCTGATTTCTTGAAGTCTTGAGATGCGGTGACTCCTTGCTGGCGCATGCGTAGTTAGAAGAGCCGGGTCGGTAGTTCATTGCAGGACGCGGACAACTTCTTCTAGGAGGACTGCTTCTCGAGATTCATCATCTCACGCCGTCATGTTTTAACTGGTACCAGACTCCCGCCAACATGTTTTAACTAGTGCGAGACTCATGGCATGCTATAACCAGTACGAGACTCATGCTTATTTAACTAGTACGAGACTCATTCTCATGGCATGCTTTAACTAGTACACGACAGAGACCCACGCCATGTCGTTTGAACTAGAGGCACGAGACCCCTGCCTTGTTTTCACTTCTAGCCTCATTCTCATGCTATGGCTATTCCGTTGCCTTAACTTGTACGAGATGCACGAATGGACTTACGGGCATTTATGTATTCGTTGTCCGGCGTCCTGGACCAAGTCGTCATGCGCTTCACGATGCCACTGCCTTCTGCCATCTCTTAGAGTGTAAAAAATGTAGTCTCCGGCTCCACAATTACAATCGTAGTTCATCTTCCCAACTATGGTGGAGATCCCTCGTGCGTCAAGAATATATAATCTATTATTAAGCCCCTGAGCAGGCTGAGAAGTAATATCGTGATCATCTCCCTTGTATTTCACCAGTTGAGTGTAAAAAATAAATATACAAATCACGGGTGGAAGATCCCTCACCCGCGGACTATACATAGAACTTGATGGATAATCAAATAACCATAGCGCCAGAAGTCCCCTTCTACCTGTCAAATAAAAATAGCCTATCCACAGTCCTGATTTCTTGAGCGACCCCCAGGCATTCCGGCTTAGATTAAGTACGTTGTGTATGGAAAGTTCAATCTGTAGAAGTGAAATAAACGGCACAAGAAAAGTCATAAGTTTCAAATAAGATTCTGACCGGGTTGCTCACATAGGCGCATAGTTTTGTAATTGAGGGCTCTTCCACCCGCGGCCTATACATAGAACTTGATGGATAATCAAATAACAAGAGCTAAAAGTTAAAGGAGCCTTAAAACGCTGTCGCGCGTTTTTCTACAGCCTGAACAACTGTGCTCCTCTGTCGGATCATATTCACGAGGTATCCTTCCGGATCCACTCCGTGCGCCGTAATAGGTTAGAAAGACAGAGCTAAAAAGTGCGACTCATCCTCTCATCCTCAAGAAGGTTATCTTGGTATAAATAAGCTTTGAAGTAGGTGAGAACTCAGCGCTTGAATCTGACTAAATTGCACACCTATTAGCAAAGAGCTCACCGGCACTTGCAGCTCCATCATTTACTGTCAGGACCAAAGGCGGGAAAGGGAAGGTTATCTCAATAAAATCTCGGGGGGACCGCTGCTCCTGCTTACTTAATACTCCGCATTCTCAGTACCTTTAGAACAGCGACACCTACCTCCTAGTACAAGACAAAACCAGTACTAGTAGTAGTAGATGACTTGTTAGGGACTACAGTAGTGGCGCTAGTACTACAGGAACATCACCTCCGATAATTGTACTAGTTGCAGACGAAGACCACTTTTAAATCTTGGAGGCATTCACTTTTTGCTAGCTTGTTAGCTAAGTGGCCATACGTCTGCCTGCGTTTTGCGGCATCAAAAGGCACTTTCCAACAGATTGCGGTGAGAACATCCAATTTGTTCAGCTGCATGTGTCGACGCTTGAAGGCAGCATACACTGTTGAAGAGGTTGTTGAAGAGGTGAGAGGGGTGAGGTTTTTGGGGTCGTGAGTGATGACGTCGCGGCACCTACCTAGGGCCGTATCAAGGGTAAAGAAGTAGAGATAACATAAGCTGCGAGAATCAAACTATATGGATACTATCATACATATCAAACAATAGTAAAATGTTTCAAATAAAGCACTCTTAATCTTATTTGTTGCGCTTGACGGCTGCAAAGTCTATATACTATCACATCAATAGAAGAATTTTTCAAAAATACTTTTTGTCCTTGGCGGCAGATCGATCTCCCCCAAGGGTATATGCTTTGACGCGTCGAGCTTCAAGTTGAAAACATTGTTAGAAGATGAAGAAGAAACTACATTTATGAAGAAGAGCGTACAAAACAGTATGTACCACGACTCGAGGAGAGGCAACAATAAGGCAGAAACTCGGTGAATAGTCAGTACTAGTGAACTGCGAAGTAGATAACGCTGCTTTTGGTTTTGTGTAGCAAGTGTTAAAAATAACCAAGTCCTTCTCGTCCAATCAACATTCGCCAGTCCTTTACCGGTTCTAGAGGTATCTTCTGACGCGCGGGGCGGGACGACGAGAGGGTATAACGTAACTTCAACTAATTACAATGCCGAGGCCTCAGGGTACTTCTTTCCTTAAAACTTGAGTACTTCTTTCCTAAATAAAACTTGAGTACTTCTCAAGTTTAGACTAAAGGACACTAGTAATAAGTCATCTATACAGGAGGAGAGTTGTATAATTAGTATACATAGTCTCATGCTGGTCGGGTAAAGAGTCCACCACCTTCTTTTATTGCGTGTTACAAATACAATTGCAAGCATGCTCATACTGATACTCAATGCGAAAATTTATTTATTTATCCAGCACTCAAGAAAAGGCAAATTCTTGAGAACATGCTCCATGCTCATGCTGTTATCATTTTTAGGGTGTTGACTAAGTCTTCACCGTCCATTTTTTCCCAGTATTCAACTACAGGTATAGCAATAGCATAACGATAAGACTCTGCTCGTATTGGCAGACGAAGTGCCAGAAATCGTACCAGAAATCCTTGACCAGCATGATTGTGAAACCCAGAGGACCGATCTACATGGAGGCTCCGGCATTGCATCCTTCAGGACGAGTCTTATTTCAGTTGTCAGGAACTCGCTTATAATTTCTAGTTTTCGAGTACTTAATTTCGGGAATTTAAAGTGAAAGAGTCCTCAGGGAAGAAGTTCGTGCAGGAGGATGCAATCTGGAAACCCTTAATCTTCAGCAAGACACCACGACCGTAGGCGTAGCGGAAAGCATCGAAACAAACGTTGTGCGGTTAGAAGATAAGGTGGACTCAACATCTAAATAAAGTCTAGAATGTAGCTGGTTTGTATACTATTCTAGGTAGGTACGCTATGAAGCGAAAAAGTGCACTCACACTCAAGAAATTGGCTAGGATTTAAGTAGGAAAATAAGTAGCCACTTTTTTGAGTGTGAGGGCACTTTTTTCTTTCATATACGCTGCTGCAGCGAACATTTAGAAGAAGGGGAAGAGAATGAATTAGTCTTCCGGTACTACCTGCTAAAGACTAAGGACGATTCAACATCGAATGCATCGATCATGGAATCATCATCATATTTATGCGTCGCAAGTGAAATTCTGCTCAGCGGAGTACAAGGAGTACAACGACAAGGACTTTTTTATGTATTGTTCTTGAAGAGCTCCCGCCATACATCAAAATGCGTCCCGTCATTTCTAGACGCATCAGTTCTTCCTCATCCGTGATCCCCACTCTATCTGCCCACTGCCTGGCAATTGCCACCATCCTTAGAGCAGTCCGCTTGCTGGCCTCTATTGTTTATTCATCCCGCCGGTCCCCTCATCTCGATAGGATAGGATAGTGTAGGATAGCGCTTGGGGTTCAGGAACTACCCCATTATTCATTCATTGGCGGTTTTTTTTGTAAGGGCATTTCATGTATTTCACAGGAGAAGAATACAAGATGCTGAGAAAGAACAAGACGGATAAGAGAGATGGACACTGTAGCTGACCTTAACATGGGAGCTGCCATGATCTGCGCACCCATCGGAACAATCACCGAGAAGAAAAAGGTAGCCAAGCCAACGTTTACGGCCGTCACAGCCAGCGGATTCAACTGAGAAGTAGATGTATCAATTGAAATTGATCCTATCACTACTCTCAAACTGTGAGTGCATGCTTTTGTCTCTTGTGGCAAGATATAAGCTTTGAAGCGGAGAGAACAGTGCTAGGAGGGAGAGACGTAAGTCTTGTTCACCGAGATGTAGGAGAGAAGAATTATAAGCATTTGTAGTACACCTAGACCTGTAGACCTACATCAAGATCAACTCTTCAACAAAGTCCTATACTCCTTGAGCTTGAGAGAGAAAGATAGTTAATATTCTCCACGTACTGGACGTGGGCCACGAGGTGAGTTAATTATAATTTACTACTCCTGGTGTTAGGTGTTGGTGACTGCTCAACATAGTCAACATGACAACAAGCAAGAAAAAAGTAGTGCCTCCACTTCCACCATTGTCGCTTGCACAGTTGGAATCACACGTTCGCCCCAGTAAATGCCAATGTTCGAATAGATCACGATGTACACGATGTATTTCATGCATTTCAAATAAGATTAGAAGAGGAAGACGACTTGTAGGAACAACAGAACTTCTTGATCTTTCACATGTTCCTACAGGACTACAGCGGAGTTAGTAGTGTTGTACCCAGTGGTCTGGTCGTGGGGTATAGGAGTTTTCCTCATCCAATTGTTCATCTACTTCTTCGTTACTATTTGTTGTTACATATCTGGCTTCATGACCCGCCCAGCAATCACTCGTCCAGCAAGGGGCGCGCTCTCATTCATTCATCATCACTGAGAGATCCCTTCTTCATCATTCACTCTTTTTGAAGAGGGAGATGATTAGTTATTCGAAACCAGACAAAAAAAGACACAAGCTCCCGTCTTAGGCATGGGTCCACGGAACGCATCGTGGTTTCGAAAGCAGCAGTATCAGTAGAGGCCCAAGCGTTGTTGCCGGTCCACCACGCGGCGTACTCTAAGTTTTGTTTAGGGTTTAGGATTTAGGTGTATCGCTATCAATTTGAGTTAGCCTTGTTCGTATGTTTGTCCTGGGGGGGATACAATGTGAAAGATTTTCCATAACCTAGTATGCTGTAACCTATAACTACCTTAGTATAGTTATCTGATAAAAATCTTCAACAGCAAGAAGTTTCTAGGATAGGATAGGACGAGTTGGCTCACCTATGAGGGGGCGAGCGTTCGAGGCCATTGACTACTGTTCGTTCACTAGTCGTAGAACAATTTCAAAAATCATTAGTACCGCGAAGCCTCCGTTTGCAAAAGCGTTGACCCAGTTCCAGGTTTCGACTAACCAAGGAGTATACGTCCACATCCAATTCTTCCATCCCTCGGGAAAAAAATGAAACCGCCAAAGCTTAGAGTGTTAAACAAAGGCTAAAATTAAAGATGAAAGAATCTATCTTGTTGATAAAATTAAAAATGAAACCGCCAAAAATTAGATTGAGAATGAGAAAGGTCAAAGTTACTTACTCCGGCGAAGAAGGGTAGAGTGTCGTGAGAAAGGTTACTTCAGGATAGCATATGATCTGACTCGCCGTCCACAGGGTAAACCTGTGCCGTCAATCGAGATTATCCTTTATGTATATGAAGAAGAAGAGCATGCTAGTGCTTTTTGCTCCTAACAAATTTCTTGCTGTGAGTGTTTTTTTTCCTATTAATTCTAAACGTGTATTACGTAATTTGCCAGAAAATCGTCTACAGATCTACACTCAGCTCCAGGAATAAACCTCAATCTAAAAAGAGGACCATAAAGTAGGTGTATAACGTCATCGCGGCGCTAGCGTACCACATTGTACCAGTATAAGCCAAATCAGATATGGCATACATCCGAGACGATGGCTGGTAAGGGTATTAGAGAAGACGAGGATCTTCATCATGTGGGATTTCTACTTAGCTCGATTTGGGTATGTGAAAACGGTGAGTCTGAGAAGATATCTCTCACTCATTTCAATCTGAATGTACCTAGCTTAAACTTCTTGAGTTGAATCATATCCAGTGGCGAGGATGGCCGATATTAACAAGTCATTTTCTTTTACTGGTGGAACAAGTGCAAGCTGCCTTAATACTTGAACTTTTTGATGCCTTCGAGGGAAGCAAGTTCACAGCTTTTCCCTTCCAGTCCGTCCACGATAGATTAGAGCGACATAGTGAGCGGGAGTTGTTCTTGCCGTGATACTGCTGAAGATGTAGTAACTACCGTCTTGCCATCTCTTCTTGTTCTACGCCTTCACCGACGATCAATATTCTGATTGCCATTGAGTTTGAAATTAATCGATGTACATCAACGAAATGATTCTGAAAGGTAGAAGCCTACAAATAGATCCTAACTGCTAGCATGGAGAGGTCGATGATTCTAACAGAAAGTTAAATAATCTATGTGCAAAAGGTTAGGCTAGGTTACGGATCCTTCACATCGAGCTCCGCCGGCACCTCCTCACCATTCAATCGCACAAGGTCTCGCTGATACAAAATCTATCACTCAATCTTCAAACAAGGAGGTCTAAGGTCTTAAATGGAGCGACCTTCTGAATCCGTGATCAAGACAAACAAGGAGGTCTAAGGTCTTAAATGGAGCGACCTTCTGAATCCGTGATCAAGAGCCATTCGCAACCCGATGTTCCATCGCATCCGCCCTTCGTCGATTGTGCTGAAATTCATATATATTTATCACAGTGGTGCTCGTGCCGATTCGCTGCGGAATCCCAATTTGGTCAGATTTGGTAAGAAATTCTCTCGAGGAGAAAGAAAATATATCTATATTAGAAGTTTTTCTAGCACTAGAGGGCCATGATTGTAGAGCACCATACTTAGTTCCTTAGTGCAACTTCTATCCAACTCTTCGTCTTTACATAGAGTAGAAATGCTCCTAGTTGTTGCATCAATATTACAACATACTCATCGGGAAATATTTCTAGGACTACGGGGCTGTGCCAATCCTCGCACACAGAGTAGATGTAGAAATAGAAATGCTCGTAGTTGTACTTCTTGTAGAGTACAATGATCCAATTACCATTACAAGTTGCAGCTTCCCCAGGTGAGTCCGCATTGAAAGCGTTACGAACATCGTTTGCGCCGTAGAAACAAGCACCCGCATCGCCAAAAAATGTTCTTGCGCCACCACGCAAGAGGATCCATACAAGCACGCCACAAATACCACCAAAATACCGCAAATTAGAAGATAGAATGTGAAAGGAGAAATTACCAAGAAGTGAAGAGTCTAAAGAGTATGTCTCACTCCAAGTAATTCTTCATAAAAATGAGTAACTGCTTCAGGAAGGCAATGCGGGGATCACCGACGAGAGAGAACTGCTTTCGGAGTGCCGATCCAACATTGGCTGCGAACTGCGTTCCTCACTAATTAGATAATGATGACGATGATGATGACGATGATGCTGATGACTAAGTTAAAAAGTCGACACTTAGGCTCTCGCTCTCCTTTGGCGGTACCTTTGTATTGAGTGGCCTCGGAAGTACTCAGAGGCTCCAGGACATGACATGTGCGACGGTATGACTCTAGATCATGCATGATGGTTTGATCGGATTTGAACTTGTTCTTGTATTTGTAATTGTATTTGGCCTGTGCTAGTAATTGTTTCAAACAAGGTCGTAAGTTTAGCAGCAGCAGATCGAAAGCGGGAAGGTCCCATATTAGAAGCTCTTCCAGAAAGCATTTGCGTGAGTTTTGAACTTGGTTTCGAGGACCCGGCAGACAGCTGGGCTCCCCTGTTGTTTTAAGATAGGACAAGATCATAGGATAGGCGAGATGATTGAAACGATGAATAGTATAGGAATATCAACGCGCTCCTTTCTTCGCTAATGAACGAAGTGAATAGTATAATACGTATCTATAAGAGTATCACAATCACACCCCTTTTATCTACTCCTGCACTAGTGACTCACCACACACGACTCACCCATTCTTCCAAAGATGTCATAGTTTGGAAATGGAACTAACGCAATCGTATAAAAAGAGAGGGGACTACACGAGGAAGTACTCGACTCGAAGTCGAGAAGGCGCTCCTAGAAATTCTATCAAAGACGAGAACCACCCACAAGCTATCTTACCTATAATAGAGTAAAGCGCTTCTTGACTCGTATCGGGCTGAGTTTCTCGGGTTTCTCGAGTTGCCCACCTTAATTTTTTGCGCGGCGCCCTTCGGGCGCAGCTTCATGCTCCTCCAAGAAACCCTAACAGGAGCGCACGGCGCTGCGAACCGTGTCTCTGCTCCATGAAAATTTTCCCGCTGCGCCTTGCGGGCGCAACCTTGGCGAGACGTTCAAGCACTGAAGAACAAGAATACTGCTGGCAGGAAGAAGGGCATTTTGCTCATGGAAGACAGCCAGGAGGGGCAACAAAATGACCGCAACGGGTCCAGCGCGGGGGGCCTGGGGGTGTAGCATGTACCACACCGGCCCACCCACCTGCCGACCAAAGGAGAACCGCACTCACCACGACCCGCCCAAACAGCCCCCGCCGCATGTTTCTGAATTTCACAAGGGCATCCTTCGACCGCAAGCCAGCTACGCGCCCACCCTGGCGGGGACCCCTCCCGCCGCAACTTCGAGGACCGAAAACCCAAGCCCAGGCTGACATTCCCCAGCGAACCAATCCACAAGCACAGAAGGGCGAGGCACTTGCTCCCGACCGCCGCGACTGCGTGGGAACAGGCGCGCCGCTATCGATCCCAAACGCAAAGAAGCAGCGCCACCCCAGCCTTCCTTTGAGGGCGCCCCGCTTTCCGAGTGAGTACTTTGGCGCCCGCTCCACTCTGCTTTGCTACCATTTCGACGCAGATAGCCTCGCCTGGCAACTTGTGGCAACTCGTTCCAGAAATGGAGGGCTTCGCTTCGGCAACTCGAGCAACTCGTGGCAACTCGAAGCCCGTTATTGGCCTTACTCTACGTATAATGAGTACCATAGTCTTGGCGTAGAACATCAGGCAGCAACATGATGCGCAAGTGCATGCAAGGACCATCATGCTCAGTTCATCGATCCAAAAGCAAAAACGAAAAACATGATCATCAAGGGTCAAATTTCAGAGTACGTATTGCTGACCATGGTGTTCGTGTTACTGACCATGGTGCTCTGCCCGTCGACCTCATTGTTGAGCTCTGAGTACGTCGTAGTCGCCTTCTTGACCGCGGTATTATCCGGGTTGTCCGTCAATAGGGTATCTGACCCCATTTTTTCGCCACGACGAGTCTAGGAGACAAGTCTCCTCCCCTTCCTCCTGGCTAAAAGGTAGTTGTCCTCCTTGCCAGAACTCAACTGTTCTTCGTTCTAGACAAACGAAGTCGACGAGAGCGAGAGCTCTTGCGCAGCAGATTGATAGCGAGATGAAACGCCAAGGCACTAGACGCGGCACCAGAGGAGCAGCAAGTTCTTGCTTACTCGATTATACGTAGTAGAACGGGTTCTTCTCGGAGAAAGTGAGACTTCAGATGTCAGGAGAGGGCGAATATATCTTTTTACAAGAACAGAACAAAAACTATCTTCAAAGATTTTTGAGTTTGAGCAGGGACGAAGTGAAGTAGTAGCTTGGTTAGGTTAATAGGTAAGAATTGAAGATTAACACAGAATGAATTATAATTATAGGTACTCACTCATTCATTCACTTACCTGGTCTTGAGGTATCTTTTGACCTAGATCAAAAGGTTTTGCATCTTGTACAGTTTAATTATACTTCCAAAAGACGTTTTTTTCCCCCTTACTTATTCTTCGACCTTTCTTGTTTGTTCTTTGCCTGTCTTTCTTCCTTCTTTACGTCCTCTTCTTTTTTCCCTTTTTTTACTATGATTATAGATACTTACTTGTAGCCTCTAGCTTTTTATAGGCTGTTGACAGACTCAGCCACAGGTCGACTACTTACCAGTAGGATCATAAAACTTAAATACTGGCTTAGCCTTGCCCTCATACCTGATACCTTCGGCTTCCTTTGTGAGCAAAGAAAAAAAGCAGATAATCTTGAGTCGCTTTCGTTGCTTCTGACACAGATGCTGTAGGAGTCACACAAAAACGGAAACAGGTCATCTGCATCACACTGATGTGGATTCCGTACAGAGACTTGCCTTCGGTCCAGCACGCACCAGACCGGAAAAAAAAAGCATACCAGACGCACACGTTGCTTCATGCCCTCAAAGTAGATCGCCACTAACTCCACAGATGAATTGCCCGCCTTTCGGTGGAAAGGAAAGCTTAGCAAGTCCTTGTCTCAAGACGGACCCGTGTAACTAGGCTTCTGCCACGCTCATCATGTTGATACTGCGCCACCAGTCTGATTTGTTGAATCAATCCAGCTACTGGCTGCCCTTGCTGTAGCATCTCGTCCTCTCTGTTCTTCCGGAACGGTCGTAAAAAAGAATTTTTTTTCGACCAATTAGTTTTATGTGGGTGTACTGCTCACGTCCAAAAACGTTATGCGTTGCATATGTCCTCGTGCTCCACGTCGTATGTCTATGCAGGTTATGGGTCAGTTGTGGCCATGAGTTCACCACACGATGAAAAACTTGAAAAATTCCCATACAAGTCGTTGTTCCCACATTCACCAAATGCACTTACTATGTTGATGCTGAACATGTCCTAACCTAGTGCTTCTACTGATATTGACTGCGAGCATTCATGAGAATGGGAATTGTGGATGTGGAATCACACTTGAATCACAATTTTCGTACACTGGTGCAAGATACTTGTGGAGAAACATGATACTACTTCTAGTTGTTCATTTTACAGACGACACACCGACAGTCGTGACACTGTCCAGCAAACTTCTACAAACAGGCACAAGAAACGACGATACATACTGTGTCAAATTTTCGCTGCACTACAACTACTACTAGACATCTACGGCCACTACGGTGCACTAGATTGATTGTTTTCATCTCTTACTAGAAACAGAGATAACGGCGAAAAAAGACTTGTTTGTGTAAAGATTGTACGTTTGCTTTTGATGATACAATTACAACACGGACACCCTTTTTCATCGTGAACATTTGTTGTTGCTCTATTTTGCAAATCTAGACTCTGACTCTCACTCAAGAATATTTTTGTTCTTGCCTATCTACTATCCACTACTGTAACACTAACAACTCGCTACGTTTTACTCCGAACTAAGAAATGTCCCAAGAGCAATGAAAGACTTGCTAAACTACATCTAAGGACGCTGCTTTCCATAGGCATACCCCAGTGAGTAAGTACCTTGTTACTATGTCGTTACTACATGTGTACTACCACAACCTACTCACTCGCACAAGGGTCCTCATCGCGGCCGCCCCCCGTCGTACAAACGATAAGGATAACAACTAAAATGTCTAAATTAAAAAGTCGATCAAGATCCATCAAAGTTGACGACTTCATCCAAATTGAACCAAAACACTCCGAGCCAAGATTGTCCTGTCGTCTTCTTCCCCTCTTCCCTTCTACCAGTACCGCCACCTCCTAGTTGATCCCCATCCTCCTGCGCTTCTGCTACTATTCCTAGTTGCAGTTCGTCCATTACCTAGATCCAAAACTCCAAGGTCTTCTTGCCGCAGATGGTCTCAATGTGATCGTAGGTAATCTGCATGCCTGTGGCCTCGAAGAACGTAATGGGACTCGGGAAGCTCTCCCATCGTCTCGAAATCACTAGAACGCGAGGATTAGAGCAGAGAGAAAAGGACTAGGCTATAGGTTGCCTTAGGATCAGAATCAAGTGGTCGGGTGGGGATTTAGTATAATTACTCACGTCGAATACGAATTACAAATATTTTTATGGACTAGGACGTCGATTTTTTTTTGGAATGCGAGGAATGGGGGGCTCAGACTTCAAAAAGGTTCCCTGAAGAAAAGCAGGCAATTTTCAAGGAATGCGAATCAGAGGTCGTTTAGACGATCACGATGGAAAATTGGTAGGATGATGATAGGTGTAAAAATTGGTAGTATGGGATAGAGTGCGTGGGCCTTCCTACGATAGGATAGGATAGGATAGGACGCATCAACCTTCGTCCTCGCTGGCGCGGCATAGTGGTGACTACCTACGCTGACGTTATTACAGAGTGGCCTCGGGTGCACTCATCTTACATCGTGGAAAAAACAAAAAAATAAAAATTTTTAGATGTTATTCTATCAACTAGAGAACAGCGCTGTTCTCCTTATCCATCCAGATCTAGTAGAAAGAACCCGAGCCAAGCAATCTCAATCCACCGAACAGTTTGTTCCATAACGAAGTAAGGTCCAATAAGCAGGAAGCTCATGTTAGCTGCGAATCGGCCACAATTCCTTTCCCAGATATCCATGTAGAGGCGCAAAGTGTCATGCCACTTCCTCAAAGACACGTTGTCGTTCAGGTGAATTCCGAAGGTCAGAACGCAAAACGTCACGACATCCACCAGAAAAAACACCGTCACGGCGAAAAGGAAATTCCTGTTTATTTTGGACTAGAGTGTATCTTAGTCCTACATGACTACCTACGACTACCTACATGTTCTAGAGTGAGAGTCCACACTGACTACCTACGACTACCAAAAAAATAAATAGAACTAGTAGTAGTAGTAGTAGTTGTAGTAGTAGTAGTAGTAAAACAAGTACTAAATAAGTAGTACCCATCTACTTCCACATCTTTGCTTCGTTCAATTTTTCGCGGAAAGCCTGGTAAATGCTTCTGATAAGACAGAAGTCCGATGATGCAGGCGCCGTACTGGAAGGCAACCTATGAACAATGGCGTTTTTTCTCCCCCTCTGGAAGAGGCAGAGGGCCATCTTCGAGGCTGCTCCCCTTGAAAGAACCTGCTCACTGAAACCCCTAACTCGATGGTCCTCTGTGAAATGGGAGAAAAAACGTCATCCATACAATCGTTGCGAACTTACAGACCATACGTACATGAAAGCGAGTAAATACTTCCAATTGGATGTACTCGAGAACCGGACGGACCTGTAGACGAGGGGTAGTTTGTAGTTTGGAGGGAAGAGAAGTAAGCACAAGTAGCAATCCTTAAGCGACGAGGGTTTTAGATTAGGATGTTGCAGCTGCAGGTAGTTAGAAAAGGCAACATGTGGTTGGTGGAGGCGTTGTCGTGCTTGTCCAGAATACTGCCTACGGAAACAAGAGAGTTCCAAAATGAACGGACTAAATAAAGACATCTTCCACATCAACATCAAGAGCGCCACCAATCAATCTTTCCTAATGTATCCATTGACCCAACTAGATTTTTTTTTTTTGTCTACTGTCTACAAGTGCACCACCGCGGGACTTGAATCGGGGTCGTGGCCCGAACCTACAAGCAAATTCGAAGAGCAGGGACTAGTAAAAACCTCTATTCTAAAAGTAACTTCTTAGCTACTTTCTTAAATCAAAACTCACTACTTCTCACTGACCGTGACCGACAAGAACCGGAGCAAATAGTTGTACCAACTGAATATCGGCATCCGTGATCGGAAACAAGGTGCCTTCCATATCACCTTCGCACTCGACGTCGCCAATAACGCCTGCATTTCTAGGTGGAATCGGTTCCATCTTTGGGACGTTTCTGACCATAATTCGGTGATTGGCGAAGTTCACATTTCTGTTGTATCGGACAAGAAGTTAGAGGAGTCCTCTCATGGCAGTTGTAGTGCCGTAACGATGAAGCACCGCCACGCTTATCTTACTGCGCCGGATTGTAATTATTCATCGCAGTTCCAATTGAAATTGACAGTAGGCCCATAAATCTCCTTTCCATCTGTGCCAGTCTTTCTAATTTCTTGCTCGTCGCCAGTCGCAGCCGCCCTTTGCTTCTCATCGAGCTCGCAATCAAAGGTGTAGAAGAAAGAAATCGCCGTTGCGATATCCAATCGATTGATCTTTCGGTTGAAAGAGAAAATTAGAGGCGACAGAACTTCTTTTTTGTCGCATCAAATAGTCTATACTATTGTTGTATATGGTAACTATACAGCAAAAACTACATTCGCACTTTTGATAAAAGCACTTCCAAAGGGGCCATAAAGTAATCTTCGCGAACATGCGCATCTGCCATGTAAGCTCCATCTGCTCTGGCTTGAGGCCCTTTGTCTGATCCAACTTCAGCATGAAAACGTGAAAACTAGCCAAGTAGTTGCATCCGAAATGAAGCATGTCGTACCTGGGCGCCGAGAACGTATATTCATGTGGTTGGTAGTGGGTAGTACCTGAAGGATGTCCATGCGGTTGTAGTGGTTACCTCGTCTGACTGTGTCAAGTTTGTTCCTCCAACCAAGAGTGATATTATATTTGGACCATCTGGCATAGGATCATAGTGGGAGGTCTTGGTTAGATAGATAGATAGATGTGCCCACTCATGGGGTATAAGTTCTTTAATTAGAGTCTACATATTTATAATACTACCAAAAATTCTACTTCTAGTGCAATGCGTGCAAGGACATCAAGTAGTACCACACATCTCTCATCACAACGATCACGAACGCGGACGGAGATAGCTTCAGCAAGACACCTCGCCCGTACCCATAACGGTACATGTCAAACAGAACGTTCCGAATTAGATGTTGCGTCAGCGTCTTCATGTGCTATAGTTGTAAATTTTCAAATTTCTCATGTACCCAAGAACATAGTCTCACGCTCGCTATCAATGCTGTGTGCCCAACAAGTAGTCCATAACAAAAGCGGTCGCAGAAATTCCTCTCGTTTTTTCAATTCTCTTGCCGCGGACCCACCTTTCTTCATGCTGAGCGGAATGATTCCGGATAAAAGCTGCATTAACATCCGAGCGATCAATTTCTGACCCAATGGGATAGGGAGTTAGAGAGTGGCGAACCAAGAAGAGGAGGAAGTAAGACTACTTAGAAGAAGAAGAGGAGGAGGTAAGTACTTCTTCTCCACCTTGAAATGATTTAAGGAATTGATCTATATATAAGATATATGGGCAGCGCCAACCTAACTAGGGAAAGTAAAAAGAAATGAATGTAGATGAAAGTAGATAAAGAAGCGCAGATATTATTGTAAGGTTAGGTTGGGTTATGGATCCTTGACTACGAGCCCCACAGGCACCGAGGATGATTTGATCTATAAGTATAATATTAATAAATATGCCTACTTAATAACAATCTAAATCTTAAAAGGATTGATCTACACGCCTTGATGATGTGAATCTATTCGGCAGTCTGCCTTAAAGAATAGAAAAGAAGAACGTCGCGAGCATCAACTCCACGATTGTTCGCCGAAGCCCGGTTACGTCATTCCGCGTCATGCTCATCGAAATCGGACGCAGCAGCAAATCCAGATACATCGTTCCGACAGACAAGAACATTGCAATAGAGGAGAGGTAGGCGAAGATTAGAGGGAGGTAGAGGAGGAGCTACCAGCCTAGTACCAGAGCCACAAAGGAAAGTCGATAAAAAGATGACATCCACCCCTCTCCCTTGAAGATAAGATCCTTGCTTGCGCCGGTTGCCCCTTTGAGGACGGAGAGAGATATAGTCCTAGTATTAGTCCTACAGACGACGAGATATTAATAAACTTACTCTGGTGATATATTCAGAGCATCTCTCAATAGAATATCGCTCTTGACTCGAACTAAGTACCAGGACGGCATTCATGATAAAGGTGAAGCCTTACGATCACTACTATTGATTGTCAAGCAATATTAAGAGCAATAAAACTTTGCAAACGCTTCCCCTCCGAAACCTCAACCGCCAACACCCAAACCCACAACCTCCGACAAAAAAACAAACGAACCCCAAACCCATGAACCCAAGAAACCAGGAAGCCATGGCTGGAAACCACGAAACCAGGAAACTATGAAGCCATGGCATGAATTTCAGGGAGAGGGCTTAAAATCAAAAATTTTGGGACCTTAGCAGTTCAAACTCACGAGATTCAATCGCAAAACGACGAAAAACGTGGAAAATTTTCGAAATTTGAAAAACGCGAAGCCAAGCGATTGAATCTCAGGGAAAGGGCTTAAAATCCAAAATTTTGGACCTTTAGCACTTCAAACGCACAGAATTCAATCCCAAAACGACGACAAAAGCAAAACGGGGAAAATTTTCGAAATTTAAAAAATGCAAATCCAAGAAGTTGAATTTCAGGGAAAGGGCTCAAAATCAAAAACTTTGAGACTTTAGCGCTTCAAACGCACAAAACCCAATCCCAAAACGGCGAAAAAATGTGGAAAATTTTCGAAATTTGAAAAATGCAAATCCAAGATATTGAATCTCAGGGAAAGGGCTTAAAATCGAAAAGTTTTGGGATCTTAGCACTTCAAACGCATAAGAGTCAATCCTCAAACGATGGCAAAACGTGGAAAATTTTCGAAATTTGTAGAACGCGTATCGCTTACATCTTTGCCGTGCTTAGTTTCTTATTTTGGGGAGGAGGGGGATCCTAGTGGGCGGGATGTTATCGGACGCTCCAAGCTAGTAGTAATTGATTGTCAATCAATAGTATTAATGTTAACTGATGTGCCCACTCGTGGGCTATAACGTCTCTAACTACAACTAGGTCTACTATGTATTCTATTCTCCTTCTTGTGTACAACCACTATTCTCCTTCTTGTGCCTTAACATCACCCTCAGCCAGATTTTCCATGGTACTTTTACTGTGCACATCCATTTGCAAGGTACGAGACCCACGTTCATACCGATAAAATACGCCAGACGAAGCATGCGCACCTGTTGTTGTTAAGCAGGGAGACTCTTCGGTGGAGTCAGTATTTCTATTTAGAGTAAAAGCAGTGTAGAGGACTTCCATAGTCATAGAGGACTTCTGCTACGGCAGTAGTAGTAGAGGACTTCCATCAAGACGCAGTGTTAGTAGTTTATATAATTGATATTGATCAACACCATTCCATCGTTTTTATTCGAAAAGCTTATTCCTTGCAAAATCGTGACTCCGAAGAAGCCAGAAAACAGCACGATCTGGTTCATCGGTTTTCTCCACACCCATTTTTAGAGGAAAGGACTTTAGTACTACTCATTTGAACTACAGAAATGTTCTGAAGGACACTAACATGCTTGAGGTCGTTAGAGAACAAAGTGTCATCGAACGACTTTAGCACTTAGTTGAGTTTGATGATCTACCTTTTGTAGGAGCTCCTGTAGTAATTGTTCTTCTTTTACTCAGTATCATATATTTTGTTGTTGTTCTGGTTCTGGTTTGTTGTAATCTTAAAAAAAAACACCAATACGCATATGAGAATTAGAGATTCCTCCTGCATTGTTCATCATAACACACGCTGAGCCAGAAAACCATCGTGACGGCAATGGCCACGCAACTTGTCCCAGGCACCCAGACTAAATCCGTCACAAAATACGTTTTCAAAGAAGGCATCCAATATCTGTAGTCGATAGTGGTAGTTTCGGAGAATGGCGATGATGATGATGATGATGATGATAGTGGATAGGATCTTAGGATAGGATGGCGCCTCGGCGTCACGGTCACCAAAGGTCCCAGCTTGGGAGGTTCTTTTGAAAGAGGGCACTCGCATCCATTTCGTTGTCCCTGTTGTCGCTGGCTCCTCTGCTAAAGCAAGTACTCGTTGTGGGCAGAGAGAGAGTGACTCATTCTATAAAGGAAGGTATTGAATGTATTTTGGAGGTGCCACCCAATGGATGTCATGTCATGTTATGTTACCTCGTCACCCGATGCAACAGTTCAGTATAATAATACACAAACTCCTTTGCCTCTTCGAATTCCGCCAAGTCACACATGCCGTTGTTTCTTAGAGGGTGCTCAACCCCTTGAAGCTAAGGGAACATGATCAACAAAGGGATACAAGAACTATGATATATGTTATTACTCAGAAGGTGATGTAGAGAGATAGATCTTCTACGGGAACTACAAGAAATTGTTAGACTTCAGCTTCAACATTATTTGGCTAACGCTGACGAGGATAACGATCAGCATGTTGCAACATAATTTTGTGTCCCACCAGCAATCGCCACTACAAGCTGACGCTGTGGCGACAGATGAGCACGCAGCGTACTCCGTAGCCTTGTCCGCGCGAATCACTGCCTTCGCTTGCAAATCGGTGTAGTAACAACTCTCACCTGAAGGCGGTGTAGAAGTAACAGCTTTCAACTGAACGAAGGAGGATCGGTAAAGTTAGTAACAGCTTTCCCCTGGACCTTCACCTTGTTGTTGAGATAGTCTCTTGCTTGGATGAGGAAGCTGATCATGCTTTAGATCAAGATGAATTTCAGGTGGTCGTGTCAAGAATTATCAATATAAATGTAATCTCAGGTGGTCGCGTACCAAACAAATCGAAGCAGCGGATGAAAATCCAGATGAGAAAAACGACGCAAGAAAGCGATATAAAAAGCATTTGATGCGTCACGAAGCCTCGTCGAGGATCATTCCAAGCTTCAGATAATCGTTTGGATGCTCGTTGTATGGAGGCTGGGCTCAAACTCGACATTCGGCTAACCGCTGACGGACTCTTATCCAAATACGAAACTTCTTTCTCAACCTAATATGAATAGTGTGGATGAGATTGTAAATTATTATAAGTTGATAGATAAAAAACATAACAAAAAAAAATCTACATTATTAATCTATATTATTAATCTCGCCATTGATCGCCGCCATAAAACTCCACACCTAACCCACCGGAGATTAGTCAGCTTCTTTCGCGAAGCTATTGCCCATAGTCTCCTGCCCTTTCCCCTCAGTCTCAAGCCCGATAGTCTCCGGCCGTTTCCTTGTTGGGATTTACGTTGCAGCCCCGTGGCAGACCACCAGAAAAGAAGGCAGAAAAATGGCCGACGGGGGTGGGGGCGCAAGCTGGGGAGAAAAGTCCAAAGAGAGACAGCCAACGAAAGACCGCCCACCGAAAGGGCAAAGACCTTGGACCAAAGACACATGGACCAAAGCCGATCTTTGGACCAAAGACGAGCTTTGGACGAAGGGCGACCGTTGGACCAAGGGCGATCTTCGGACTAAAGGCGACCTTTGGACCAAAGTAAGGCGAACTTTGGACCAAAGTAAGGCGACCTTTGGACCAAAGTAAGCCGACCTTTGGACCAAAGTAAGCCGACCTTTGGACCAAAGTGCGCCGACCTCTGGACCAAAGTAGGACGACTTTTGGACCAAAGTAAGGCGACCCTTCGACCTCTGGACCAAAGTAGGGCGACCTTTGGACCAAAGTAGGGCGACCTTTGGACCACAGGCGACCTCTGGACCACAGGAGACCTTGGGACTTAAGACGATACTGGGACCAAAGACGACCTTGAAACCAAAGACGACCTTGGGACCGAAGACGACCGCGGGACCACAGGCGACCTCTGGACCAAAGTGCGACGACCTCTGGACCAAAGTAGGGCGACCTTTGGACCAAAGTAGGGCGACCTTTGGACCAAAGTAAGGCGACCTTTGGACCAAAGACGACCGCTGGACCAAAAACGACCTCTGGACCACAGACGACCTCTGGACCAAAGCCGACCTTTGGACCGAAGACGACCTTTGGGCCACAGGCGACCTGTGGACCACAGGCGACCTGTGCGTGGACCAAAGACGACCTTTGGGCCCAAGACCTCCGACACGACAAGAGTGAGACCCGCGACAGCAGACATCTGACGAACGACCTCCGCCAGAAAAACTGACGCGAGGCCTCCCTGTGGCGCGAGGCCCTTGAAGATAGCGAAGACCTTTCGCGAAGGACGTCAGTCCGGCGAATGCGGTCAATCTGGCGAAGCACGTCAGTCCGACGAAAGAACGGGGTCAATCTTACGAAGGAAAGACATCCGCAGCCCGAAGAAAGGCCCCGCTCAGCCTGTTCCCTCCGACGCAAGGCAGACGCCTGGCGAAGCATTGCGCCGGTCTGGAGAGAGGCCTCACCTGGCTGGCGAGTGCATCAGCCTGACCGACGAACGGCGCCGAGCTGAAGCAAGCCATCAACCTGACCAAAGGCGTGAGTCTCGGCCCGGCGAGGAATGTCAGCCAGGCGAAGCGCTTCAGCCTGTCGAGAGACGTCGCCCGACCCTGACGAAAAGCCTCAGCCTGACCCAAGACGCCTGCCGAGGGGCGCCGGCCTGCCCGACGAACGCCGCCAGCCTGGCGCAGAGCGTTGGGCTGACGAACGGCATCAGCCTGATGGAGGGCCTTAGTCTCCAGCTTGGTGAAAGACGTCAGCCAGCCGAGAGGCTTCAGCCACAGCCCGAAGCGCGACGCCGCACGACCCCGCGAAGTGCGCCCGCCTGTTTCTGACGAGAGACATCTGACGAAACAAAGAAGCCCCGCCAGGTGTAAGCGCGTAGAGAGACCCAAGCAGCGCGGCCCTGCGTTGCTTTGTCTTGTTTGGCCCATCAAGGTCGCCCCTCGTTCTTGCCTGGCGCCACCGCGAGGCGCTTGCGTGCGTTGGGGCTTGCGGATTCTTGTGCGTGTCTGGTGGCTCTCTTCTGGTTTTTTTGTTGGACTGCCGTGGGGGTCTTGCAAATTCTTAAGAATTTGCATGACCCGCCCGGCAATCTAAAAAAAAAAACCGAAGGCAGCGCAATGCCCTGCACATGAGTCGACGCATCTGAGTCGGCCACCGGCGGCACTCGGCTCTTGTCGTAGTCAATTCGTAAGGTGCATCAGCTCACCCGCCGGCTGTCTCTACTCTAGCGGCTGTAGCCCGTGGGAGGCCGCAGAAAAGTGCTAAACTAACTTGAAGCCGGGCGAAGCTTGTGGAGGCTAGTTTTCTAGGAGGTGAATCTTGACAAAAATGAACAGTAATCTGGGGTATACATGCAACGATAGAATAGATAGAGGAGTCATCAAAGATTTGACTTTGCGAAAATAATTTGATCTGGTTCGCTGCTTGGGCAATGTGTTAGAAAAACCGTATCCAGAGTACCTCATTCGGGTCTGTACGACCCGCTTCCAAATCGACGTCGTTCGCTGATGAGGTTTGCTTGCTCACTGCTCAGATTAGAGTCTGCTTAACATCTTCATCAAGATCAACCTCCTTCAATTCTTCAATGATTATTACTGAAGATGGATATCTATTTTTATATCTTGTTTACTGAATGTGTTTTAAGTATCAGTGAAGACGGACAGATATACTGAGTAGCATGAATTCATCCCACAACATGCCAACCTCCACGTCCACAACAACTTCAATTTGGAGACTTCAGAAAAAGTTTCTGGGCACCACATGATGCACAGTGCGATTCACAATCAACAGACAGGCAGAACAAGGAACAATAATACCAGCACCCTCTACAGCCAGCCACTACCTCAAAAAAAGACAAAGTCTTGACATAATGAAAGCTCCTTTTTGACAGCTTCTGCTGATGGTTTCTTCGCTCCAGCAGCAGGCTTAGCCGGCGCAGGCTTAGCGGCCTGTTTCTTCTTATCCTCGACAGGCTCAGAGGCCGATGAGGAGTCGTCGCCAAACGAGATCATGGCTCCTATTCTTAAGCTTAATCAGTAACAAGGAAACTACCTAAGGTCTTGAAACTACGTCACAAGGAAACTGAAGGTCTTGAAACTACGAAGTGTTTTCTATGGGAGGGTGACAAGGAAACCTAAGGGTAAGGGCTTAAGAAGTCTACCATAAATTTTCGACGATGAGCAGTTTTCTATAATGGGTTTGACAAGAGTTACGCGGACAACTACAAGAACAAGGTGAATAATTCTCCCCTTCTACAACTCCAGTAATAAGTTGTTGTTTGAAGTTTTCAAATTGGTGGTGCCTAAAAGTTCTTCAATGTCGTGAAGAAGTAGACTGTATCTATGTATTATGATTTTTAGGCAAGACCAGGAGTAGAAAGTAGCACAAGAAGTGAGGACCTCAGGTGCAAGAACTTCTACAGCAGGTGGTAGGCAATTATACATGTACAGCATATACAGAGGTAACAGTTTACCATAAAAAAAGCCCTGTCTCTTTCATCATCGATGATCTCTGTACAACGAACCTACGTGGTTCATGACCATGCAAGTAGTCCTGATCTTGTGCATATCTGTGTTTAGTGCTTTTCTTGATGTGCCACAGATCTATCACGCACCAACGTGGAAAAAACTACTTAGAAGAAAAAAGTATTCGCTCTTGTTCCTCTCAACACGTGGTTCATCTTCTTTGTGGGTGATGACCGACTAAAATATTTGACCACGACGGACCACTCGCAAAAAAAACACATTTTCCTTCCTGGAAAAAGTCAATTAGTAGTCAAAAAAAAATTCTTCATGTTGTACTTACACAGGCTTGCTCTCCATTCAGATCCATCTTGCGGCCCGTCTCTAAGCTGCCATCGGAATTGCGTCAGACTCACACTCAATCTGATATATTTATATATAATATGAATGATATATGCGTCTCCCTCTCACTTCAAATGAGTGGAGCATCGTCAATATTCGCGTCTTGAAAAAGAAAATGAGAAGTATATATAACGACATTCACAGTATCACGGATTGCGCCATGATCTCTATGAAGGACTATGCGTAGCGTATCTATTGAACAACATAAAACATATGCTGAGACACACACACGCAGCTGGACGCATTACGGTAAAACAATCAAAATTAAGATTTGCTTTACTCCGTAGATGTTGACTTGCTTCTTTTCTCGCGAAGTACATGCTCATGCATCTTCATAGGTAGCAAGCACGAAAAGAACAATCCTAGCAAGCAGCCTAATATTGTGTGAAAGGACTCGACTTTTGCGATCAATTATAAGGGCAAGGGGTAGCCGTGCCAGTAGAATGATAGCCAAGACCCAACCTAATATGCTGGGGAGATCCTGGCTAGGAACCAAAGATGGTAAAAATGATTCTTTTTCTTGGGCTGCAACTTCAACATCATAAGAATCTTCGTTAGGTGTTGACGGACAATTTTCGAATGACAACGCTTGCTCCTTCTTGTCGTTGCTGATAAATTATGGTGCATTTCTCTTTGGCTTTAGTTCTGCTTCAACTATAATTTCGTCACATCCACATACAACTAGTGTGTAAGTAAACCTTCCTTTTGGATACAGTGACACTTCTTGTTTCTTCCACATTCATCTACGACTTTCATCCCTAAAGGCGTAAAGCAAGCGCAAGAATCAGGAAAACCAAAAGTCATAGCTTCGTCCACTTAGAAATTCCAGCTAATTTCCCACTCGGCAATATTTTTTTTAAAGGTAGGCAATCCTTATCCGTGACTGAGTCGACCCCTGAGTTTCCCCGTCGGCTTTATCTCAAAATCAAGGGGACCTCGGAACTCGGGATATAGCTGCAGCACGCGAGATAATGATTGACTACCCGCCTTAACATCGGCGCCAATGTGCCTGACACCCATGCCCTCGTGCGTGAAAATCTTGCTCAGCGCCAATGTTATTTCCTTCACGTCAAACGCATCATACTCAGCAAAAATTAGGGTTGTAAGGAAACATTCACAAATAGATTCGAGGTTGTTTGAATATGCGAAATATTCTATCTTCACATCAACAAGTAGATGGATGTCTAAAGTTTGTAAACCTCTTATGCAGATCGAGATTGAAAGAACATACTACAAAAAGATCGTACGAACTATGTGAAATAAAGCTCCTTCGTTGGGTGAACAACGAAGGATATCAAAAATCGTGCAGACCCCGTGAATGATGTAACATTTACGTTACAGGAGATTATTTGTTGAAGATCAAGATATTAGAAGAGGATGATGCAAATTCATAAAAAGATTCTGCTCTTACACAGATCCATATTCTGGGTCACAAGCCTTGACCGATTGCAAGGGTCGACTTCACAAAGCCGATATCTTCCCTCATGAGCAAGCTGAAATTAGAGGAGCAGATGATAACAAACATATTTGATGCTCTGGTTATGACTAGGAGCACAACATGCCAACGCATCTAAGTAACTAGTAGCTCTGCTACATACTAAGAAGAATAACGGGGGCGAGGAAAGCCGGGGGCGGGCCGGGCTGTGCACTACAGTACCCCGCGCGCGATACTAGCGCAAGAAAGACGAAGATAGGGCCAAGCCTAACAGACTGTCTCAAGGTCTGAAGCGCCTCCAGGGCGCGCTAGAGCCAAAGCGCAGCAGTTAAGAAAGAGAACAGCCACGCTAAACAAAGCCCTCTCGCGCCCCGTGGCTGTCCTGGTGTACAGTCACAACGCACAAGTCTGGGCTGGTTGCGGCTTGGTAATCCGCTTCCGAACTCTCTGCCGAGGGGCCTTAGTTACTCACTGGGCTAAACTCTGAAAACGAAAGCAACGACGCTGACGCAGCTACTCCGTCCGTCCCACCCCGTGGGTGCACCTGCGCGCGGCGATCAAAATTGGGCGAAGACTATACGCCCAACCTCGAGCCCGTCGACGAACGAAGCCGCAAGCCACTGCATGCGGGCACGCGCGCCAAGGCTGTGGCGCAGTGATGTTCAGTCACCCACTCACGCAGAACAGCGTAAACAAAGCCAAAGAAGTGGCCTCGCTGGTGTGTGTCTGTGGTGAAGCCACCCAGCACCGACCAGCACACGCGACCAAGCGCGAAAGACCCCAACGAAAGAGAAACGCGGCGCCGTCTGCCCTCATGGTGCGGGGGGGGAATCCGGCGGGCGACGGCCAGGCAGTGCGGTAGCTAACTCTAAGAACAGGCGGCGGAAGCTGCGCCATCGTTCGTCGGTTATTTCTAAGGAATCTTCAGCCCCAAGAGAGAACCCACGAGACCCATATGGATTCTCCCCGTTAACGAACGGGCTGCGTGAGCTATGCCTAAGCGCATTCTGCAGCCACTAGGGGAAGCACCAAGAACAGCATCGAGCTGAAAGCCCAGAACCACCGCCGAAAACCTTAGCCAGACAGCTACGAACGCGCGCTCATTTAGTTTAGCCAAACCGCACACAGAAGCACCCGCAACCCAGGTGATGGTACATCTCGACACTTCGCAGGGGCCCGGACTATCCTAGGCACACACAAACAGAGCAGGCGGAAACGAAAAAGCAAAGACACCGCCCACCAGACGCGCACGGCACAGGGGAGAGCGTGCACAGCAAGCCGGGCGAGCGCTTTCGGCAGAGGAATTGCGCCGGCCATTCCGCGATGGGTATGCGCGTCGCGCTTTGCTTTCTCGTTGCTCCTCCGCACTCGGCGAGGGAGTTGCGCTACTCATCTCTCGACGCTTTGCGCGGTGTTTAGCTCGCCTGGAGCTCCCGGTGACCAGCCGGGAGCTCTGCTACATGAATTTCCAGTAATCTACGACCCGTTGGATTTTCTTAACGGGATCGGGAAGCGGCCACTCAAAATACTTAGTATCACGAGTTGGGTTGGGTGTTGACTCGCTGTCCATAGTTTGACATGTGCCGTCAAGTACCTCACGAGTAACTCACACGAATAAGTCCTAAGTATCTAAGTCGTGCATGATGGGTTAGACCAAGGAAATGGAAATGAGGGAAAAACTGACCGGTTATTCAAATATCTTTGCTTTATGTGCTATAAGCGTCGCTGGACCTAAGCCAAACCCTACAGAAAAGGGAAAAGCCAATCTAAGCTCTACAAACCTTAAGGAGGAAGCTCTTTCATTATTTTCGAATTGTCGTTGATGACGCACTCCACTGTCCGAAAATAGACATCCGGCAGGCTTACTTTACGCGTCAGATGCCGCGGATTACGAACCGCAATCTCAACAATATCTTCTTTGATTTTCGTGACGAATTATGAAAAGGAAAACGAGCACAATGCATTTGTTAACTAAGTAAGTAGGCACAAAATATCATATGCGGCTTGTAGTAAAATATTGCACGGACGAAGACTATTTACTGAGTTATCAACATGAGTCCACCCATATCTGCTTTGGCATTTGGTGCGCTGGCTATTTTATTTTCCACAGAATGTCGAGATCATCAAAAACAATCAATTGAGTGCTTCTCCTGGCCGCTTGGCGCTGGCACGGGACCCCAGTCCAAGCGTGTAGACCCTGGAATTTCGAGAAACTAAATGAAACTGCGTAGATGAAATGAGTCTTTCAAAATATTTGAGCACAACGCAACTGCTTGCCGCCTTAAAAAATGCCAGATCAGGTTTTTTTTCGCCTGTTTGATCAGAGCACGCTGGGCTGCGACTTTGCCTCGAATTATATCACCAAATTAACGCTATGACTGGAGTCTTCTCCATCAACAAGTGGGGTCTCTTTACAAAAGTGCGGTCTTCTTTATCATCGAGTGGCGCCCTTCATCTGATGATCAAGATCAATGCGTAGTGGGAGTAGACACCTTACATATATTTATACTCTAAACTTCCTGCAGAACTGAGTATTAAAGTTGGACTTCTAAATCTGCTGTACTTTCCTCCCTGATCAAGAGACGATGAGATCCATCTCTGATTGGGTTCAAGATCAAGTCATCGCTAATAGTAATGAAAGCAAGGCAACCACAGAAACTAACTGTGAAATAATGAAGGTACTATTCAACGTTAAAGAAGATTGCTTTACTGATAACGTGTCTGTCCTCCGCGAGAGAAAATAAATGCCGAGAAGATACGAACATGTTGTATGAACAGCTCAAGACCTCGAAAAATACATGTGGACGACTGTATCTGTACCGCTACTGCACGCCAGTTAGCTTAATGTAATATAGCATGCTGAAATCGAGGCAACAATAGTGTTACAGCAGAGGTAAAGTTATAATAAAGAACCTCAACTCACGAATCGATGGCCTTAACCAAATTTCCGCTTTTGGCCTCTGCTTTTAGCTTCTTGACGATCATGCTCCACGACCACATCCATCGCTTGCTTCTTCATTTCGTCAGACATTATGAAGTGAGGCCCGTAGAGGTACGAAGAACGAACTCTCACGTGCCGAAGTAGATATCCCTGAAGATTTCTGCCTGCTATAACCTAAAAAGGCAGAACAGGACTTGTTCTGTGGACGAAAACAAAACGCGTGTACTACAGGAACAGGACAGAAGAGAACAGTACAGTGTACACGAAGTGGTGCAAGACACTACGTACTAGTAGGTCCTGGTAAACTAGACTACTAGACACGAGATAAATGAACGGAGACACCATGCATATCGAGTCACGTGGTCAAAAAATCAGCATCACTATTAGAATGATAATCGGAATCTGCCGGGGCGACATCCCTACAATTCGTTTCCCTGAAGACAAAGCAACTCATGGTCTTCAGGTTCCCAACATCAAGCAAGCTGTGATGGTAGTACTTAGATAACCTTAGTAATAGTACAACCCCAAATTTATAATATGATTGGACAACGTTCCTTTCTGATATTTGATATCGTGACAACTCGTGGGTTTCTATCTAGCTACACACAACAACACAGCGGTTTCTTAAAAGCACTGCTGGAGCGAGAAGAGCTGCTTCCGTGAGGACAACTGGAGGCTGCGTTCGAACCCTTAGCCACGGCCTGAAGCGGATGCTGATCTCTTTTTTCCGCTTCTTGCTCTTCCTTTCGGGCAATGTAACAGGTTAGAGAAGAAACCGCATGAGTTCTACTACCAGTACCCCGTTCGAAATACTTAGACGATCTACAACCTCCGACGCACCCATCTCAAGCGCAGCTTGAGTAAAAAGTAATTTACTTTTCTACCACCTCAAGTGCCCCTTATGTGAAGTTGTAAAGTCAGGGAGTAGAATCATGAATGCAGAAGTAGCCGTAAGTAAGCGAGGTATTCATCTGGATCCGCGCGAAGATTCACGAATGTAGCCGCAGCCTCGACGCCAAACGAACAGGAAGCGACGACAGCCGTTAGAGGAGCCACATAGAGATCATAGCTTCGAATGATGACAAGCCATCTACTACTACTTATCAAGACGATTGCTAGAAGAGAGCTAACCGTTGCGAAAGAGCCTTCACCATAACATCAATAAGGCGAAGGGGCGGTACTGGCTGCTCGGCCGGCGACGTTGCTTTTTCTGCACCATCTTGTGTGCCGTCGACATTATTCTGCTCATGAGAATAAAAAACGTTGTAGTGAGCAGACTGAAAACAATTTGTTCTATGATGATCTCCGATTTTTTCACAGTATAATGAATGTAAAATTTTACGTGTCTAAGTAAGTAATATCTACGTACTCATGCGAAAAGCACGAAGAAAAGAAACTACATGAGCTCAAGAACAAAAGTTTGCGAGAAGGAGGACAACTCTTACTTGGAGCTTAACTAACAAAACTCGCTAGTTGTAATGGAAATTTGAATCATCTTTTTCCTCGTCGTCATATCAGTAATAGCCCTGGGATGTTGTCACTGTATGGTTTTCTCCTAGCGAATCTTGTACTAGGAAAATAAGTAATATTTGATTTCAAAGTAAGTAATTTCAGAGGCCAAGACATGACTCGTCAATTCTACCGACCACAGACAGTATTGACGAGTATTTTTTGCTTACACAGACATAGAAATGCTGCAGGAAAACACCTCCTCATGCTTTTTTTGTACAGAATAGAGCTGCAAAATCATAGAAGACAGTGGGCCTAACGCCTCATACACTTGACGCGGGGATCTGACCATCAAAAAGGCCTCGACGACCTGTTTTAGCAAGATCTGACAGCCCAACCACGAAAGTACAAGGGCAAATCGCGATGAACACGACCAGCACATTCTTATCAATTTAAATGTAAACTGGCACACCTGCACGACCCTCAACAGCGTGACTCTACGATATGTTGAGTCCAGGGTGTGTAGCCTCCTTAACACACGAAATTCATAGGCAATTTCCAAGGAGCAAGGGGGGACGTGACAAAACGCGTTGGGGATTACTACGCCTTTCTCGCCCTTTTTAACATCGGTCTGTGAGTAGAGATGTCCATCGACATCATTATTGCGAGAAATGAAATAACAAAAGTCTATCGCGGGTGGTAAGTATGATCATTTCTTGTTGTATGGGTGATGTGATATGGCGGATCATTGTGGTGGTCTCTGGGTATGGTCTGGTCTGCCCATATCATAAGTAGAGGTCTCTGTTGCTGAATAGAATCCAGTACACGCGACTGACGTCGAAGTCGATCACAAGTCCCGCAAGCACCAGGAGTCAGTTGTTCTGTCAGCACTGATTTTCGATACTAGCTATGCTACACGACTGCGACTTCTAAAGCAGATCTTCTTTAGCACGTCATGATGAATGTTGATATTCATCTTTATGTTGAGTATCTAGTACACGAAGATTTCCCCTGAAAGTGTCTTCCATCATATGCACTATATATAATAGTGATGAAAAGGAGTCAGCAGTGGTCCTTGAAGTATCTAAATTTATGTAAATAGACTTAGCATCGTATGCTGTGTGTGCATCATATGCTGTGTGTCTTTAAGTATTTCTAACCATTTTAGTCGCACTCTTCGACGTTGGCAAAGTCCGGTGCGGCACCATCAGAGGACGCTGCGCCGCTTCCCATATCACCTCCAGGCATACCTCCTCCTGGCATGCCTCCAGGCATTCCACCCATCTTGCCCATCATTTTGGTCATGAGGCCCATGATCTCTGGATCGTCTTGATACTTAGCGAAAGCAGCAGGATTGCTCATGATCTCCGAAAAAGCTCCCATCATTTTCGGATTTGACATCGCCGCCATCAAGTCAGGGTCAGACAACAACCCACTCACATCTGGTTATTATAGATAGAAGTCAATGAGGCCAAGAAAGATGAGCATTTTCGTGTATTGTGTGAAACTGCCTGTAGAACTGAAAACTTGCCTGTAGAAACGTCGTGAAACTGAAAACTTGCCTGTAGAACTGATGGAAGTTGTTATGTTGTTGTACTGACGCTGACTTCTACCTTATCTAAAATATTAGAATAATCCAGAAGTACTTGTTTGTACTACTTATACAAATCAATCATAAGTCTGCTCATCTCCTGGGATCTCGGCATATGGAAAATGTTCAATATTAAGATGCTGCTTTCATCACAAGCACACGACAGAGACAGCGAAAGAACTTCAACAACTTTGAACTTCTTGTATTAAAATATACCTGGCATGCCTGCGGGCATTCCACCTTTTCCTTTGCCGGCCATGCCTGGCATTCCTGGCATGCCACCCATTCCTGGCATGCCACCCATTCCTGGCATGCCTCCCATGCCACCTGGCATGCCGCCCATGCCACCTGGCATGCCGCCCATGCCACCTGGGAATCCGCCTGGCATTCCACCTGGAAAGCCGCCGCCTTTTCCTGCGTTCGCTGCTCGCTCGCGGGCTTCCTCCTCCTCGCGTTTTTTCTGGGCTTCCTGTGCCTTCTTGATTTCAGCCCTGCGCTTCTTGATCGCTTTTTCCTTCTCCTTTTGGGACTTCATTAGAGCTGACCCTAATTCATCTAAGAAACCATCGATCTTTATTAACACCTTCTCAAGAAAACAGGGCCAAAGATGCAGCTTCTCAAGATGAGTTACGGTAAAAAGTCTTATCTTTCGTTCCTTCTGCAGACGCTGCGCCGTGCGCACTTGCTCCAGCTTCTTCCACTTGGCTGCGACGAACTTCTGTGCTTCCTCTACGCCGTCGTCGAAGTCCAACTTCTGTGCGGTTTCCAGGTCCTTGTGCGCTGCATCCCACATGTGCAGACGACGTTCCGCCAAACCACGAATGCGGTACGCCTTGGCGCTGTCCGGGTTCAGTTCTAGTGCTTTCGTGCAGTCAGCAATGGCGGCTTTCGGTCGCTTGGCCTTCAGCAGCATATCTGCTCGCTTCGAGTACATCATCGCGGTACAGTTGCCGATCTTCAAGGCCTCCGTAAGCGTAGCGATCTACAGGAAGGAAGATTCATAACATTGTTGTTGTAGTATTGAGAAATGATTGCGGAACCATCGATTCCTTTTTGGTACCTCTACTGTCTACGCTAGCAGTTTCATCAAATTTTCTTAGAGCGTACTTCTACGCCTACTACTACTTCTTTAAATAATAGATACTGATTCTACTACAGAATCAAGTACCGCTTTCTCCAGGTCTCCGTCTTCGAGCTGCTCTTGAGCCTGTCCCTTAAGCTCCCCCTGCTTGTCCAGTTCGGCATCCGTTAGTTCTTTCTCCCCCTCTGGGCCCATGTCTGGCAGAGCAACGCTTTCCGCCTCTAACTTTTGGGAGTCCTCTTCATGGTCGGATTCGGGGTCCTGAGTGGAAGATGCAGAGTCTAGCGATGCATGTGGAGCGTATTTGCACGTCTATCTTCGTTAAAAGATAAAGAGTCGTTGATATTTTTTTTGCCGGTCTCGTCATCTTCAACCAACTACGTCGTATTGGATGTAGCTCGTTGTAATCACAGAAGTACATAAGTACAACTAATCGACGTTGTAAATACTTCTAATCTTTGTCCAACAGTCAGGCTTAAAACTTACCGGGATGTCTTCTTCCTCTTCGCTTTCTTCCTCTTCTTCTTCCACAGGCTGGGTAGGCGTCTCTTCCGCTCTTTTGGGGGACGGTGGACAACAGGAACCGCCACCGCAGGACCCGCCAGCGGTATCGGATTTCATCTTCTCCGGGATGGTTGCGCCCATACCTTGCAAATACGTTTTGAAAAAAACCAATTCGGGCAAGTGGAGCAAGGCCGGCTGTTTCTCCAGCACGGCCACGAAGGCCTTGAGCTCAGCAACTTTTGCAGGATCGATCGACATCTTGCTGATTTCTTTTGATGGGGAGAGAAATGAAAACTCAAGACTCAATGATTGAAGTACTGGTATCAAAGCCAAAGTTAGTGCGGGGTATCGGGATAAAAAACAATCTGTTGTCTGTCTTACACATACAAAGAAATCTAAGGAGGAACGTCGACAGCAAATTCTTGACTTCAAAATCCAAAATCACGAATAAAATTCAAGGAAATTCTGCTTGCTAGTTTTCCGACATACATACTAGCGGGGATGACTTGAAGCTATCAAATAGACTCCCTTATTTATCAGATCATTGATAGAAAACTTCCAACATCGCACCAACTTGGTGCCACCAAGATCGTTCTCTTTCTCCCATGAGAACTCCAATTCGGGTTATTCAATGGATTAGCAAAGGCACAGAATGAAATGTTTCTTCATATTCAGAGATTAAATTCACGGAGCCTCGAACTCCTATTGACGCATGAACTCCGATCATTGCAAGTTGAGCTAGTACCCTTTATAGAAGGCAAAATTTGAGAGACTATTGAATTTCTTACTTCTGATGGATGTTCACTCGATGTTCACACGTTGAGGAACACGTCGAAGAGCATTTTCGGATGTCAAGGTATCACCGGCTCGTCTAGAAATGGAATCGCAGAACCCATGATGAACGGGCAACTCCACAATTTTTATTGGGATCCCATCAAAGGAAGGTCCTTGCTTGAGAGCCGTGTGCGATTGAAACGAGAACTGAACGTGAACACCTTTCAATTGCCTCAAAAATTCAGAACGTCAATGGCCGCTACTCCCGGACTGAGCACTGCGGCGGAAGCGATAAAAATTTTCTAAAAGTCATCACAAGGATGGAAGCAGTAGCAGTACATTCACATGACGAAATGTCGATGATCATGGTCTCACATGCATTGAAGGTCACGTTCTTGATTGAGCATTTCTACAAGATGGGGAGCACAGCTTTGACACATTACCACAATTCATGAAAAAAGATGCGCACCTGAATAGTGCTAAAAGTTCCCTTTTACCTGTCGAATAAAAATAGCTTATCCACGGTCCTGACATCTTGAGCGACCCTCAGACATTCCGAGGCGCTTGACACGCGTCACAGCGACCATAATGCTCGAGAAACGTTGTCAAGAAGTTACAAGGGCAGGACGCAGTCACGCTGGCATTTGGTCAGGCTCACGCGGACCCAAACAGACCCCCCCCAGAAAGCAGGGAGACCGAATTAGAAACAAAGAAAACATCCACGATACACGCAAGGCCCTGGCTGCCACGGTCACCCGCGACAACCGGCAGTCCGGGATGGCGACCCCAAGGTCACAAGCGGCCCTTTGAAGAAAATAGGGCCACGCACCTCGTGCCGCCGTTCCTGGAGACGCGGAGCTAATTCGCGGACTTCCGGCAGAAATTGAAACTACAGCATTTCCCTCTAAAAAAGCACTTTTTCTGCAATTTGCACAAGGTCAAGTCTAGTCTGTAAAGAGCGGAAAAAAGTCTGTAAAGTAGTCTGTAAAGTAGTCTGTTTTCAACTTGGAAACAGACTGTCTTACGGACTACTTTACAGACTATCTTAATTTTTTGGCAGACTATAGTATTTGCAGACTATTTTACACGCTACACGGAGATGTGACATCTCGGGCTTATGCTGTATTTTGGTGTTGTGTTGATGAAAATGCAATATTTTGCGTTTTTTTGACCCGAAGTGTTGCATTTTCCATTTCTGCGAAATTTGTCGAAGTTGTCGGCTCTGAGAGCTGGATCCAACTCCAGGATTTGTTGGCGAAGAACAGGGCAGAAGTGTTGCTGCCAGTCAGCGACAGCGACTGGAAATGACCTTTTGTAAATTACAGCAAAAGTTCTTTTCTTGGAGCAAAATGCTGTAGTTTCAATTTTGAAGGAAAGACCGAGACCGCGATGGGCATGCACTGTCCAGCGACGACCCACTGCTTGGCTGCCGTTCCAGCAGATGGCCGGATCGCCACACACACTCCATGGCCCACGAGACGACACCCAGCCCCGGCAGGTCACAACCCGAGGCAGCGCCTCGCCCCCTGTGACGAATGGAGGTGGCGCCATTGTCTGCGGACCTCCCCACACCAAGACTCAGGCGAACGGGGCCAGCGGAGTACGACTTACGCCAAGCGCAAGCAGCCAATCGGTCAGGATCGATGGGCGCCAGGCGCAAGGCTGTGGACTCACCTTGGACCGATAGCCTCATAAACCCCGCACAAGCTCGCACTATTTTCGGCTGTGATGGAGGGCATTCTACACTATAGCGAATAAGTAACTTCAAGCATAACATTAAACGGAACATGTGACTTTCTTACGAACTGTAACGAATGCGAGGGCGCGCATGTGATTATGATGCAATGAAAAAAGTATAGTATAGATTGATACGTACCTACAGGGAAATCTACTTAAATGGATCTGGCAAAAAAGTTACTGTCGTTGTAAACGGTGAGAGGTTAGGAAAGAACAAATTACAGGTAGAAACTAACATACTTACATAAAAGCCTTTCGGGCGAGAGTTCTTGGTTTTTGGCAGCATTGTGTGTTGTAGTTTGGCTACGTAGTACTGTTAATTGGAGAGTTGTATTCGTAGAGAGTGTGAGAATGCGCGTTGCGGCTGTAGTGTTCGAGAGTCCATATGTATTTATGTAAGTATATCCACGGAAGAGAAGGTCATAACTACTCGTTAGGTGATCATACCAGTATCTGTCCGGTGAAACGTTACACACCTCCAATTCATGAAAGGGGTGGTGAGCCGAGAGTCGAAGAGCTACTTATAGGCAGCTATCGGTTTGCATAGAAGCTCCAGATTCTGTGCAGTTCGAAGCTGGTGGTGGTGGTGGTGGTGGTGGTACCAGTAGCACCGGTGGTGGTACCAGTAGCAGCGGTGTCGACAATGGAGAGGACTACAAGGAAATACAGAGCCGATTCTTGTTATACTCTCCTGCTATCATGCCCTCACCTGAAAAAGACTGGAATTCAAAAACAGCAACACGCAAGAGTTCCTCGTCTTTTTTCAGACATTGAGAGTTGTATTGAAATTAGCTAATGAACTAGATGTCAGATTGAGTTTTTCACACTGTTTCTATTGCTTGAGCTTGCATACGTATACGGAGATAAAACTAGTACTATTCTTGTCTCTACTCAATACCGTCTAACATTATGTCTCAGAAAAAGCGCAAAATACTTTCTTATTCTACTCTTCTGTATTCCCAAATCACAAATGATCTTTTCTTTGTCTTAGTGTAAATATTGACTTATTGATCTGCATGTTGGTTATCTCTGCATCTACAAAAATCTAAATCGAGATATAAAAAACTTTAACTTTAACTCCTTTCATGACCGGCTAGCAAACGACCACCTCCTTCATCGGCTAGCAAGCGCCTCGACTCATCCCCTTGCGATGCAGATTCTCCATATACTCCAACAACGATTCTGTGCCACCGCCGACACGCACTAGCAGCTTGCCACGATTCTTTATCACCTCCTTCTTCTCCTTTCCGAAAACATAGTGGTCTCGACCCACCTTCTCAATCGCGTACGGAAAATCGGGATGCCGCTTGACATACCTGTTGTAGAGATTGAAAAGTCGTGACCACATTAAGGTCAACCTACTATAGCATCATCCTCTCTCTCATCAATCATCATACTCCAAAATTTTAACTTAATATATATCAATTCTCAATGTGCGCACTAGTACTGCATTACCTTTGAATCTCCAGGTCGGCTTCATCTGTGAACTGGTGTGTATGCGCGGCGCCGCGTGCACTAGCGGGTGAATTCGGCTTCGTTTCCTTCGCACTCGTCTCCTCGACTGATTTTGCGCCACTTGCAACTCCCGCTTGCGAATTTCTTAGAAGATACTTCCGACAAGTGCCTGCAGATAGAGCACTGAATATTGATCGATCGATGGTAGAAGAAAAACTATTGGACATCACTGACTTCTTCTTTGCGTAACACAGTGATTTATACAGTTTTGCTCACATAAATTCAATATTTCTGTTTGCGCTTCCTTGGCGTCCGTAGCTTGTTGGCGCAAAAGGGCAATCTCATCCATTGCCTCAAACAATTCAGTATCTTTCCTCTGCAAAAAAGCGTCTTTCTCAACTAGTTCGGCAGCCATACTGCTCACCTGTCAGTTCTGAGGAAGTCCCAACAAATCGAAAAATGGATTTCTTCGACAGAGCACCATCTACGATATCATGCAGGAAGATGAGTGGGACTGCTAGCTGCGAGAGTAAACATTAATCACTCAGTAGTTTCCGTTTTTCTTTTTGTGTAGTCTGGTTCTAGTACTACCAAGAAGATTTTCAAATTCAAGATTTCAATATCATGATCAAATGAGAAAACTTGGAATTCTCCATAGTAGTAATACCTGTCCTTCTAAACGCCGCATTGAGTCCTCTATATCGCGTCTCGCTGACTGCTCTTTCATCAACTCGCGACGAAGCATATCAATTTCTGCGAGAAGGGTTGAGGAAGCGTCCGCGCCCGGCGAGTACGTATGCGGAGGAGAGGTCTGCTTTATCTTGTTCTCTATAGCCTGAACTCGTGAATGAAAGGAAGGAGCGTCATCAAAACAAATCTATCGGTATGTACACTGTACAACACCCTACGAATAAGTTTGCAGCCACAATTCAATATCAGAACATCTTCAACCGACGTAGTTGTCACTAGATGGAATCTCATCAATCTTAATATTTAGTACGAATCCTGCCATATTTTTCTGGTACGTAGTGCTGTCCACTTTTATGTTGCGCCTCGAGCAGCATATTATCTGTGATATTGAGCATGCTCGAGTTGTTCCCGTTGTACGTAGAGGTATCTTTGTCGTAGGTTTCGAACCCGGGAGAGATAGGCGACTCGCCGACGGTCACTGAGGTAAACCGCTGCTTTCCTGATTGCTCCGATGACACCCGTCGCTTCTGCGCAAGGATCCCCGAAGTTGAACTGCAGTATCCGTCATGATTGGTATTGCTATTCACCGGCGGCGTGCTCATCTTATCGGCATTGCCAAGCCCGACATCCACATCGTCCAGCACAGTTGATTTCTTACTTTAGACTTTCAAGAAAACAAGTTGAACAAGATGGACCTTGCGACCGCCATGGAAGAAGTACTCTTCTGTTACGCTAGTCCCGAAAACGAAAACCTGTTATTTTCTTATTATAAAAATGTCCTGCATTCATCTTCCAAGTCCAACTTCAAGGAATAGATATGCCTAGTTGCGTCGAGTACTTCTTTGTTAGAAGAGGGAAACTACAGCCATAATTCGATCCAAGCGACGATGTCGTATTTTTGGAATTGTAGACCGAGCTGCCAGCCGCAGTACTATCTAACAGGTTGTCTTGGTGCACCAAGGGAAAGTCGCGAATTAGAGCGGATTTGGAAAACCTCTCGTCTGCTACGGAAGGAGGTGCTCCTAATAATGGAGTGCGAGTGTGAGTGCTTCTACTGAGACTGAGGATTGTACTAGGGAAAAATGTTGATGGTGCTTGCCTCATAAGCTAGACGCCAGTTTCATGCTATGGTATGCCCTTGTCGCATATTGCGTTCCCGCAGAGGCGATGCTCTCACCTGGCGCCAGTTGCTTCTCCGCTACGCCTAAATTGCTGCCCGTTGAAGGTGCTGCGGCAGGAGCTGCAGAGGACATCATAGTGCCACCATTTTGCTCTGGTATGCTGCTCACTGAAGCTGAAGTACTCGACGTTGGCCGCGGTTGCACTATCACCTCGCGACCATTCAGGACTGTAGTTTTACTTGATGTCGTCCCGTCAGTTTTCGAACCTACATGAGCTGCGGCGGAAGTAGCACTGGAAGGTGATATAACCGTGACGCCAGTAGTTTTGGACACCACTGTTGACGAAGGAGCTGTGTTTTGCCCACTTGAAGACACAACTGCTTTTCTAATCGTCGTTGTTGAAATCCTCTCAAACGGTCCTGGCGACACACCCCGAGAAAGCGCACGAACCGAAGAGGCCTGACATTAAGACATTCATAGGTACTTGCACATGTGAAAAAAGGGCTTCATCAATACGAGTGAGACTCATCAAAGGTAACGATGAAGAGAAAGTGGTTACATATTTTTTTCAGGTCTTGATCGGAATAAAAAGTACTTTTCATAGGTAAATGCTTGATCTGTTCTATCTTGGTCATTACACAACTAGTGTCCTGTCTATAAGGTATGAAGTTTCGTCGACTATTACTAGTACGGAAGATTATAATATAAGTACCAAGGAGGATTATGAACAATACCGCTGCCTGTGCAGCAAAGCCTGGAACGCCGATATTTCTGTAGGAAGGCGTGATCCAGGAGTTTTCTAAATTCGTGCTGGCAAAGCGGTCCACCGACATCGAGTGTGACCTCGAACGACTTCTTGCTGTCGTCGTCAGCGATTGGCCTCCGTTCTTTACGACTGTGGTGACTACAGAGTTCGCCTGCAATGCGGCGGCAGCTCCGCGAACCACTTGACTTGGCGTCCTCGCAGACAACGCAGATCCAGCAAGCGTGCGCGCCCCCACTGAGAGGCTGACTCCGCGCGCTGAGTTTGGAAGCACCGGCGTCACCGTGCTACTGCTCTGCTGGTCGGCGACGCTGCTTTGTGCGCCTGGCGGCATGGTTCGGCCTACACGCGCCGTAGCGATCGCAGGAACATGCGTCGGCACGCTGTGCGTGGTTTTGATGCTCGTACTCGTGGTGATGGTCACGGGCGGTTCTCGCGGTCTGCCGATGGAGGCCTGCAAACTTTGGACTAGTGCCTGGTATCGCTCCATGCCAACAGGTACCATCCCACCAGCTGCCGCTCCCACAGAATTATCTGATCTTTAGGAGTGATGCTTTCATTAATTCTGATACTGCGAGATCCTCAGGCAGCTACTTCGGGTAATGATGCAATACGAAAAACAACTTCTGCAAAGAGAAGAAATTCGATCGCGATCTTCACACTAGAATTCTTGTGCACAGCTGCAGGCGTGCTGTAATAGCATCGATGAATAGTCCTCTAGCATCCTTAAATCTAACAGCTTCAATAGTGTTCTACATATCGTAGATACCGATAGACACTGCCGATCCCATCAGTGTTGTTGCGGCCGTTGACGCTCGCGGAGTAGGGACGTACTGCACCCGTGGAGTCGTACTTCCACTACCGAGCCAGGCGACACGGGCGTACGGTCGCCCCATCCCCGGTGAAGGTGCGCGCATAGTAGCAGACATGGTAATCCTTGTGCTGGATGATGAAGTTCACAACTTCTACTTCATTCAACTAACTATTAGCTACTATGCAAGATTACGTTTATGCCTCAATCTAAGTCGTGAGATGAAAAACATAGGAGACATGCATCTACTGCCCGGTCAATGAACAATCAAAAGTATTTTCGTGATCTTCTTGACGCTATATTTCTAGGTAAAAGTCATTGATCCGCCGTTTTCCGTCAGTCAAACCATTTCCTTGCTTCTCCTTTTTGTCGAGGCCAAGTGCTGGATCTACTCGGTTCGGGAATGACGCAGTCACTCAACCCAGCAATCTTTTGTTTTTTTACCGACGTTTATATGAAGTATTGCTATTTCGCCTCTCTCTCAGCAACAAGTTTTCTTGAGGCCCGATCCTCGCTCCTAACACTGGGGTGGTGCCTGTCTGCCAGAATCTCAATCACTTACATTTTTTGACAGAGCACGGAAATGTCCTTGATTCTAAGTAACAAATCCCTGCAGATCCGAAACAACTGTGGGATTTTACTCTCTCAAAAGGATGAATGGACGCATTTTCTAGCTAAAACCCTTTGTAGATACTTAGACTTACGACAACACAATAAACCACAGCGAGCGATCGTCTTGTGCCTCTGCGCACTAGAAGTAAGATTGAAATCTAAAAACTATCTTTTGGGTTGCATGAAGAGCGATGAGCAGTTGTTTTAGTAGGCGTCCAATCCGTCTCACATGAAGATCGCGGCAATACAAAGAGATCACCTATAAAAACGACATCTCATCAAAAAAGAAGAATGCTGCAGCGTTGTGGTCAGAATCTCATTGAACTTCTCCACCATTATGATTTCCCTATCTTGGATTGACAGCAAAAGAGAATACTTTTGCGATCATGGCACTGAATCAATAGTACAACAGGACATGCTGATGTTCATTTCTTGAAAATAGTTGCAAATGTAAAACCCTCTTTCATTCACATGCAAGTTAGAGGGTGGATATAAATCATTCGACATGAGTAAAAGTCTTCCTCTTACAGCACACGGCTACAGGGACGGTAGTAATTCAATCTCAATCTTTTTCTTTACTAGTAGTACAACATCTACATGGCGACGAGCAATATTATAATAAGTTTTGAAATGTAAGAGAAGGTAAAAGTATGGGGCGAAACGACGGCTGAAACACGGTTCATTATATTCGACACACAAGATTGTTGTCCTTATAAAAGGAGCATTTTCGTGCTTTTCGCTTAGTCCGAATCACTGTCAAACGTCTTCTTAGCACCCGCGGACTCGACGATCGCTCCAGAGGCAGACGCTACAGGTCCCTTCTTTCCTTTGCCCTTACCTTTTTTGCCCTTTCCTTTGTCGCCCTTCTTTCCGTCACCCTTCTTTCCCTTTTCGCCTGAAGTCAGGTGATGAATATGGTCGTATGATAGAATTTGTGTTGAGTACTGATCAACTGGAGCGATAGACGAAAATCTTATAATCGTATGATCTATCGTCAGCAAAGGAACTACATCAATGCCGCTTTATTTCTTACGGCAGCAGGTACAGAACATGTATAATAGGATCACATTGATGAAAAAGATGTTTCAGCTTCAAAAAACCTGGAGTCTTGGATAAATACCTTTCTTTCCTCCCTTCTTTGCGCTACCCGAGACGGTGTCTGAGAAATCGACGACGATGTTGTCGCTTCCAAGTGCTGATGATTGGTTGAGCGCCACGGCTTTGTCGGTGCTCTCAGTCTCGACGAAATCGAGAAAAGCGATACCTTTGCTCTCTCCGGTTTCTCTGTCCTTCACGATACGGCATCCCTGAACCTCACCACACTTCTCTGAGAAATGAGCGCGGATCTCGTCTTCTGTTGTCTCGCGTGAAAATCGCTTTACCACAACAGTGAGACCTAGTTGTTGTAAACAAAAAGAAACAGAAATTGGATTTCGAGGTGGAAAGTAGAAGGTGTTGAGAGAGACAAGAGTTACTCATCTTGGGGACTATATATTTATAAGTATGGGTGAAAAGAGAAACATTAACATCTTTCATAAATAAAGCCAAGATCAACATCAAGAGTATGTTGAGGAAGATAGACTTATTCGATTCTCCTGTAACAAAAAAAATAGTTGTTTTGTTTCTACCTCCCTCAGGCTTTTCCGTTCGTGGGCCTTTGCCCTTCTTGCCTCCTTTTCCAGCACCCTTGCCGTCTTTTTCGCCCTGCGTTGCCATATTGACCTTGATCGTGCGACCGCCATAGTCGGTACCATTGTAAGCGAGGGCCTTGTCGACTGCCTCCTGGCTTTTGTAGGTCACAAAACAGATTCCCTTCATTTTCCCTTCGTCATCCTTCAGTGCCTTGAAGTAAGCAATTTCACCACACTCCTCAAAGTCTTTCTTCACGGTCTCCTCGTCTGCACTGTAAGGCAAGCCGCCGACAAACACCTTATATGTGGAGTAACAGAGAATTTCTAGTCTAATTCTGAAACCAACAACTGACTACACTTCTCAGAAAAACAAAGACGAACTTGAGATTAATTTAGCCACTTATATTGTTGCACGGGATAAGCCTAATATTGTCGAGGTGAAAACTGACCGGTTGTCTTACTTAGTGCTTTGAGCGCCGCTGGACCTAAACCTTCACCAAAAGGTGAAAGCCAATCAAGATTTACAGCCCGCCTCTAATAGAAAAATGATGGGGAACCAGAAGCCTGTTATGGGAGGAGGTTAATTACATAAGATTAGCTAGTTAAATTATAATTGTATCATCTATCTCAATCTCTATGTACCATTCAAGTACCTTGAAATTGTTGTTTTCCGCAGATGAATCAGGGGTGAAAACCGTTTTCTTAGAGATGACTTCGCCAGAAGGAGTCTCCACCTTTTGCTTCTTTGCCGCTGGTTCTCCTGCGCTCTCTGAGTCTGAGTCACTGTCGTCGCCAGCTTTGGCCGCTGTCGCGGGGGTCTTGTCGCCTGTAGCTTTCGGTGGCGTCGTCGTGTTGTCGTCGTCGTCCGATGATGATGATTCTTCAGCCTTCGCTGGCTCCTCGACCCTCTGCTTCTTCGCTGGTGGTGGCGCGGCTTCGTCATCAGACGACTCCTCCTCGCTGCTAGACTCCTCCTTCTTGGCAGCCGGGGCGGCAGTAGCCTTCGGTGCGGCAACTGGTTTTTTCTCCTCCTCATCGGAAGATTCTTCTTCGCTGCTAGACTCGTCCTTTTTGGCGGCCGAGGTAGCAGCAGCCTCCGGTGCGGCAACTGGCTTCTTCTCTTCCTCGTCGGAAGACTCTTCGTCACTGCTAGACTCTTCCTTTTTGGCGACCGGGGCGGCAGAAGCCTTCGGTGCTGCAGCTGGCTTCTTCTCTTCCTCATCGGAAGATTCTTCTTCGCTGCTAGACTCGTCCTTTTTGGCGGCCGGGGTAGCAGCAGCCTTCGGTGC